TTTTTTTTATTATTATTATTTATTTTTTTTTTTTTACAGTGTATAAGGTTTAAAAAGGCATTAAGCATCAGATTACAGACAACATAATTGTGTGCACCCTTAATAACAAAGTATTCCTGTTAGTGCAGACACTAATTATGGTTCTTAATTTAAATAATTATTGTAATTGTAATATTTTAGAAATGTGCTGTTTTTTTATTGTATTTCTGATCAAACAAATGCAGCCTTTGTGAGCAGTTTTTTTCCAAAACTTTTAAACTGCTTCATATAACAATGAATAATACCTTATATTTGCAATAATTTGCGTCCTGATTGTAAATGCAAATAAATGAATCCCTCTCTGATTAAAGAAAATCAGCGAGAGCCTTTATACTGTGTCAAATGGGGGGAGAGAAAAAGAGAAAAGGGAGTGATATGACACAAATGACAAGCATGCCTCATCCAAACAGTTTTCTGGAAGCTTGTCCTGTCTGACTACATTCTCTTCCTCTATAGACCTGCTCTCACAGCCCAACCATGTTATTGACACACATCACTTTATGTCAGCAGTTTTTTTTTCTCCGCTGTTTTTAGTGCCGTTTATATTGCAATTGGTTTTTGAGGTCTGATTGCTGAGATCTTTAACCAGTTTGTTAATAAATACAATTTAATTTATTATATTTACTGTGTTAGCCAGGCTAATGTTTGTGCATTTTGAGATCAAAAGCTATACAACTACAAATTTACAGAAATGTTGGTAATTTAAGTGACTATTCAAGATGCCCCCAATCAAATGTGTTTCTCAGAGCTATAAGGACACAAGAGTACAGTACTTTAGCAATCTAATAGACTACTTTTGCATTTTTTCAGTGTAGCATAAAGCATAACAGCCTTTTGGAAGATAAGCTGATTGTTAACAATTGTGGTCAAGTTGGTGGTGCAGGAGATGAATTGATAGCTAATGATTTTGTAAAACCAAAAGCTTCTCTTTAAAAAGAATTGGGGAAAAAAACTAAAACGTATTAGCTTAGAAATTCAGAAAAAGTATTTATGTTTAATGAACGAATGGATTTCTATTTGAATATTTTTAAAACAGTTTCCTTTCAGCATTATTACTACAGTCTTTAGTAACATTATTCTTCAGAATCATTATGTTAATGCAGATTCAGTATTCAAGTGTTAATGCTTTTTATTTTTGTGTAAAGGCAAGTCACATATATTTATGAAGCACATTTCATACACAATTGTATTTTAAAATGCTTTAAAGGTCCCATGAAGTGCTTTGAAATCGGCATTTTAATTCAGTGTTTCAAGTAATCTCAACCGAAACAAAGAGAGGATGGAACATAGTGTTGCTCCTCCCCTTTTTAAAAACAGCCAATAGCCTTTTGTTTTATCACAGCTCAGCCAGTGAGAGTAATTGAGCTCGAGTGCATCAAATAAAAAGCAAATTAGAAGCGTCTTAAAGGGGGTGGGGCATGTCAGATACTAGAGAGCATTTGATTGGTTATTATGATTTGATGAGAAACTGTAGTTTGAGGTGACGTGAAAAGAAAAATCATTGCTCCATATAGGTGGAAATGACAAACTACAAGATTTACATATTTTCAACATTTTTAAATCTTCTAAACACAATTTTTTCACTGTTTTGAAGCACACTAGATTATAGATATCCTAAAAACTAACAATACTGATACTAACATCTAAAGAACTTTTATTTTAATTTCATGGGACCTTTCATGGGTTTCAAATAAACCATATGGTTAAAATAATCACAATAAGTATAGGAAATTAAAAAAACAACAAAGCAATTTAAATATTTTAAAATAGATCAAAATGTGTTAAAATAGGTTTAAAAGAAAAAAAGGAAGATAGACTAACACCAAAGCTGCGTCCCAAATGGCACACTATACACTATGCCCTTGTGCCCTATTTTACACACTCAACAGCATAGTATATGTATGTCATGTTGTCTCTCTCTTTTTTTTTTTTTTTTTTTTTTTTTTACTAAGCGGAAATTCAAACTGTTTTCCTGAAGACATTTAACTGTTGCCAATTAGTGAAATAAATGACCAAACTACCAATTAATACTTGCCATGAGTATAGCCATATCCGCCACCGTGAGGCGCTATAATCACTCTCATAGGAGAATTTTGGTTTCACAATCCAAAGTAAATAATCCAACATCAGTGACCGAAAGCTTTGTCCCTTCCGCTACAAAGCTGCGGCCGTTGAGTGCACGAAGTGTCCATCATTTCACACTTCATTTTACCGGTTGAATAAGTGCATCATCCAGGTAATTAAAGTGCACTTAATGTTTTTAAACTTTTCAGTGTGAACACACTACTCAAACTATTTATACTACAAAATGGCGTAAAATAGTGCAAAAGTATGTGATTTGAGACACACCTCAATTTTTTATTTGAATGTGCTTGTTTACTGTATAGATGGATCTCATCTGAACCAAACACATTTTTGTTCAGGATTGCAATCAATGAAACGTTGAAAGAACAGCATTTAAATGGATTTTTGTTTTTGGTGACCTCATCCTTATTGTTATTATTATTCTGTTTTTCTATTTTTTTATTTTTTAAAGGTTTATTTTTGGCCTTTTTGCCTTTATTAGATAGGACAGTATTGAGACAGGAAGCGAAGTGGGAGAGAGAGGGGGGGTAGGGTAGGGAAATGTCGTCGAGCAGGGAACTCGCGACGCTCTGACGTGCTATTGCACCATATGTCGGTGCGCTAACCACTAGGCTATTGCGCCGACATGTTTTTTTTTTTTTTTTTTTTTTTTTTTTTTTTTTTTTTTTTTTTTTTTTAGTAATAATAAATTAATAGCTTACCTTGTGGAACCAAACTGTTGAACTGTGGTCTACATGTGTGTGTGTTCAAACAAATTTATATTAGTTTATGTATGTGTGATGACTCCAATTAAGAAGATGTGTGTAAGATATAGGTGGCACAGTGGCTCAGTGGTTAGCACTGTCGTCTCACAACAAGAAGGTCGCTGGTTTGAGTCCTGGCTGGGCCATTTGGCATTTCTGTGTGGAGTTTGCATGTTCTCCCCATGTTTGCATGGGTTTCGGGTGCCCTCGCAAGTCTAAACACATGCTGTATAGGTGAATGTAATAAACTAAATTGGCCTTAGTATGTGTGTGGGAATAAGCGTATAAAACATGTGCTGGAATAGTTTTTGGTTAATGCCACTGTGGTGACCTCTGAAATAGAGAATAAGCCGAAGGAAAATGAATTTATGAATGAGATCAAATAAGCTCTCTCTGTCTGTATGTTTGTGTGTCCTTGTGTGAGTAAAATTTACTCAGTTTAGATCAGGGGTGGGCAAACTAAGTAAAAGTTTAACAAACAAACTAACTAAAAGTTTAGCTACAACTCTAATCAAACACACCTCCTTATAGATTTCTAGTGATCTTGAAGAGGCTGATTAGCATGTTCAGGTGTGTTTGATTAGTGTTGGAGCTAAACTTTGCCCACCCCTTGTTTAGATAGTATTTGGTCCCTCTCTAAATTGAGTTGAAGTAACTCGGGTAACTCGGGTCCTGACACGCAGTGAACGCGTGGTGGTGTTTGAAGGTGTGAGACGCACGCAGAGCACAGACGCTCTTGATTCTGCAGGTTATTAATAGTATAATAAAACTAATACTTTAACAGTAAGGCGTTTTAGATTGACCAAAACAACATTTCAGATGTTTTACAGTGTGCTCAGCCTGCTGGTTTATCCATTCACACACATTTTCATCATCACATGATCTCTTATAACAAAATCCAAAAATTTTGCATACTGAAATTTGTGATGTAAAAGTGTTTCCATCGTAGGTTATGTGCATCTTTTCTCATCGAATAAAAAGTGTATCCTACTCATTTATGCGCATACGTTTTTTTATGCGCATTTTCAAATTTTCTGCGCATCATGATGTTTCCATCAACCGTTTGCACATAAAAATAGGTGGATTGAAACATGGCTAATGAAAGGATTAATGAGGTGATGATTGAGCCCTGATGATAAACACCTGCTGTTAAGAAGCAGAAACGCAGAAGAGAAACACAAAACTACAACTGACTTCAGTCACAGCCTTAGATGAAATTAGCTGAAATATGATAGATTGAATATCTCAAAATCTCAGCAGAGCATTATTAACTAACTCCACAAACTGCAGCTTATCAACCTGTTTGCCCTTATTTAAAAAGGGACCAAAAATTCTATGAACTGAGTAAATTTTAATCAGAGGATTTTGCTGCGTATAGACTATTGAGGTTACCTCCAGTGATATGTAACCATTGTGACCCATTGCCCATTTTGATCTTAAGATATGACTGACGGCTTGTTTCCGTATGTGTACATGTGCAAAGATAATGTCAGACTAATTGATTTAACATGTGAATCAGAGTTGGTCAATGCCCACTACTGACCTCCACCACTGACATTTACCGGAATAACATTTACTCTGTAATTTAGTCATGCATGATGAACACTTGTATCATAAGAAAACGTTGAAGTCATTAATAGGAGAATAGCGATCCTGTAATAAAAAACTATCACAAACTGATAAACCTGCCATTGTTTAAGACGTGCATAGAGCATTTTTATTCAGTTAAAAGCATTTGCATGGGAAGTATTTGTATGCCTCTCTTCCCTCTTTACTCCCCTTCACACATCCCCTCTCTCTCTCTCTCTCTCTCTCTCTCTCTCTCTCTCTCTCTCTCTCTCTCTCTCTCTCTCTCTCTCTCTCTCTCTCTCTCTCTCTTTCTCTCTCTCTCTCTCTCTCTCTCTCTTTCTCTTTCTCTTTCTCTCTCTCTCTCTCTCTCTCTTTCTCTCTCTCTCTCTCTCTCTCTCTCTCTCTCTCTCTCTCTCTCTCTCTCTCTCTCTCTCTCTCTCTCTTTTTCTCTCTCTCTCTCAGGATGGAGATAGCAACAGCCCTGCACTCCTCTGCTTGCATTATTAATGGGTGGACATTTCTTCTCTCTCTCTTTCTCTCTATATGTGTCTGTGTGTGGTGCAGATGACTGAGCTAGCCAGCTGAGACGAGGAGATCAGGACCGCTCTCCTCATATCCCTGCCACCTGCAGCCATGAATGGTAAGAGCACTGCTTTATATTTCTCTCTCTCTCTCTCTCTCTCTCTCTCTCTTTCTGTGTGCGTGTGTGTCTGTTTACTCATGTGTCCGAACCAACAGGATTCGTGTGTTTGCGCACAGAAGACCTTTAGCCTCATAAAGGCATTAGAACACGAGTCCTTTCTATTTGTCATGTCATGTTCATATTTGCGATGTGTGTGCATTGGTATAGCAGCTCTCACACACTGCAGCATGACCGTCCATTCTGATTTCTGTCTGTCAGCAGACCATCTGTCAAACCGACACGCTACTGCTTGCTGATTAGTTTATTTGATAACTGCTTGGGTTTAGGAATGCATATTTTTAGACATTTTATTTCTTATTTGCTTTTTGATTTAAAGCCTGACCATGCTGGGGTTAATATGTTAGTTTTGTGAGTGGGATGAATGCCTTTTTTATTTGAGATTGTTATTATAATTTTTTTTTTGTTGTTGTTATTATTATTATAATTATTATTATTATTATAATTATTATTATTATCATCATCATTATTATTATTATTATTTTATGATTTAAAATGATCTATCAGATGATATTTTTTTCATAAGACAAATTAGTGAAAATCTGAATGTTAGTACATTCAGCAAATTTTAGCTCAAACTGTTTTTTAAAGCAGAGATGTCCAAACTAAAGCCAAACTACAGGCCAAAGTTGGCTCATGGTAACCTTTGATTTGGCCCACTATTCGGTTTGAGAAGAGAAGGAGAATGATGGGGAGCATTGAGGAGAATGGCCTTAACAGAGATCGACATTTAGAATTTAACCTAATCTCTTTTTTTTTTTTTTTTATTGTTGAGTTGAGCTACAAAAAAACAAACTAAAATTGAAAATTTTAATTAAGTGTTTTAAATGAATCAGATAAATCAAAAAAGCAAATATTGTCTCTTGACGGATAGAGGACATTGCACAAACCATTGTGAGCAAATCAATGCAAAAGCTCGACTTGTGTATTCATATATATAATTTTTTTAGTTTTCAATTTTACTGCTTAGTTCATATAAAGCAGTTTTCTAGTTTTAAATAAAAATAATTTAGCAAATTTACAGCAACTTTAATGTAATACAGTTTGCTATATTTAGGCCCAATCCCAATTCTACCCCTTCCCTTTAACCCTACTCGTTATTTTGCGCGTTTATGTGAAGGGGTAGGGGTGTCCCAATTTTCTTTAGCTTGAAGTTGTAGGGCTAAGAGGAAGGGCTAGATAGCCCTTGAAACAGAGATTTTTAAGGATCACACTCAAAACCAAAGGGTACGAAAATTTCCCAGAATACACCATCTACAACAACAGCATGGCTGCACACACAAATCATGAGATGCACAAATTTTTATTTTTATTTTTTTGGTCATTATTATGAATTTTTACAACAAACAAGCATATGTTTTAATACATTTATAACGACACTTGTTTTACTGTCATAACTTTAAAAAAAAAACACAGCCTTCAATGAAGTTGGGATTTTGGCCCTTCGTAAGTAAAAATATGGGCACCCCTGTTTTGAAGGCAAATAATGTCACTTCCTCTTCCATATATATTTTAAAATGACAGACCACTATTGTTTTTTTTAATACATGTGTGGTTAGATGTTGTTTATATACCTTATGTTATTTGATTATAATTTCTTTTGCAATTTGTAAATATTTAAAGATTTTGTATGCTGTCTGCTGTTTGTAATGTTTGGATATTTTCGAGGCTTTGTGCACTTGTTCTGGGACTGAAAGACAGAAGTGATGTGCCATATCATTCAAACAGCCTGACTCTGCAAAAGGCTACTATAGCTTGATTATAATGGTGCATTCAAATATTCCTGCTGATATTACAATACTGAATTTCTCAGCAGCAGTCATATTGCTTTGTTATTAGTTTAATTCCCTCTCTCTTTCTTTCATCTTTCATTCTTTTTGTGTCTTCATTTCTAAGGTGGTCGGAGTATTTGGGCTATAACCCCAGAGGAGAGGGACAAACATGATCAAAAGTTTGACAGCCTCTTGCCAGCTCAGGGCTATGTTACAGGTACGTGCTGGGCAACCTTTAATATAAAGAATTGAAATAACTTTTATAAATGGGTCAAAGACAAAAGGGTTTTCAATCATTTAAGTAATAATAATAAAGGTTTTTCTTAAGCTTTACATTTATTTATTTTTTAAATGTACATTTGAATGTTTCCTTTTATTGATTTGATTAATAGAATGACAAAATTTACTATACTTTATTTTTTATCGGGATTTACAAAACACTAAAATAATCAAAGTAGGGCCCAAATAATTGTTCTATTTTTGTTTTTTGTTTTTAAAATTACACAGCTTTTATATTAAAAATATTCACATTAAAAAAACAACATGCATGTGCACCGGCTCATTGTAGCTACCCTGCCTTAATCAGGGTATTCGTCAGTACTTGATAATTGAAATTTTAATCAAATGAAGTATATTTTTTAATAACTACATGTCAAAAGAATTTTCATTTTTGCATAAGTACATCTGTTATGCTTAAGGATGAGCCCTTTTCACCTTCATTTTGAATCTTTTTGCTTTCACAAAGTTTTTTTTTTATTATTATTATTTGAATTGCAATTTAACTCATGAATTAAATTTGATGTCTTTGACTCAATCACACTTTAATGTTACTGAGAAATCATTCACCACCTGTGTCTCAACGTCAAGCTGCTTACGATAGGTAAGATAGTTGAGGGAGGGAGCTTTACATGCTGCAATTTAAGAAAATGTGCAATTACATAAACACCATCAAATAAAAAGATCTTCATTTGTTTGACAGCACAAGTGCTGCAAATCCTCACAACGTAAACAATTGTAAAAAAAAAAAACGTGCTTTATTAACGCAAACAATTAATAAAACATTTATGAAAACACCTGCATTTTCTCACAATAAAACGGAAATATTTCAAGGAGACCCTAAAACATGACAGATCCGGCTATTTAGGCTAATAAATACTGAAGACATGTGAATCAGGATGTTAAAATAAATAAACAAACAAACAACTCACTTTTCAAAGATGACCTACAACTTCACTGAACAATCGTCAGAGCGCAGTGATGTTCATCGCGTTTTTGGGTTCCCTTGAAACATTTGCGTTGTGTTCCGATCTTTTTTACGCAAAAATTGTTTGCGTCGTGAGAAAATGCAGCACATTTTATTTTTTATATGTATGCGTTTGAGGATGTTCATCATGTGTGCTGAGAATGGATGAATATCTGTTTTAAATTTGCTGGCTTTTTGCTGGTAATTGCATGTGTTTTCTTTAATTGCTTTCTCGGCCATCTGAGCTTTGACATAATAACCATTGTATAAAACACAACAGAAATAAAAGTGTTTACACCTGTATATGTTTCTCATAAAACTTTTGTGTGTGTATAGGGGAGAAGGCAAGGAACTTTTTCATTCAGTCAGGGCTTCCTCAGCCTGTGCTAGCTGAAATCTGGTAAGAAAACCTCAGATAATCATTACATAATCTGTTTTTAAAAATCAGATATCATACTTGCCTTATTCATGATATATTGCTCAGATTGCTTTGCCTGTTTGTTTGTGTATGGCAGGGCCCTGGCTGATATGAATAAAGATGGTAAGATGGACCGGCTGGAGTTTTCTATAGCCATGAAGCTGATCAAGATGAAACTTCAGGGGCAGAATCTTCCCACAGCTTTGCCCATCATCATGAAGCAGCCACCAGTGCCAGCTCCAACTATGCCAGCAGCACCTCTCGGTATGCTGCCAAACTACAATATAACCAGCAGAGCAGTAATCTGAAAGGGCACTGAGATTAAAGCACTCTTGTTCTGAGATGAAAATTCAAAGCCGGACACTGTTTGGCATTGTAATTACAGAGTATGTATGGTAATCTTTATGTAATCAGTAATAGAGTACAGTCTTATTTCTTTTTTTTTTGTCCATACTACTGTGACTGACAACAAGAATCCACACATGAATGCTGTTTAAACATCAACACTCATTGTTCCGCAAACCTGCCCTGCTTATAAAGGTCATTTATGTAGAGGTCATTTAGAGGGAAAGTACATGAAAAAATAAAAATATTTGCTCAACACAAAGAAATGTATGTTAAAGAATGTGTGAAAGGAGACAACTTCTGATCTGCACTGACTTCAGTATTATAAAAAAAAAACAACTATTTTATTACCCACATACATTTTGTGTTCAACAAAAGAAAGTAACTCAATACTATTGATTCAGCTAGGCAAACCCCACAAAAACCCACTTCCATATTCTTGAAATTCCAGTAAGTGACAGAAATTTCTTTTTTCGATAACTTATTTTCAACAAGTGTCCACAGGAGTGTATGAAAGCAAAAGCGGCCCATTTAATGACCCGTTATCAGTATACTTGTTGGATTATTAGTAGATACCATTTGTAAACAATGCAACAAAAGTGCAAAATAAGTTTAAAAATGACCTATACTTCCTTATTTGCTGGGTAAACCTCAATCCCCCATGAGAGTCCTTCTGACAGCAGGTGCACAGTTTGACCGTCACAAGGTACAGTAGAGCTCTAATGTGGAACAGATGGTTCTTAACATGACCTTCAAAGCAGCCAAGACTATCTGACAATCTTCAGCTTGTCAGATTTAGGAAGAAACTGTTACATTTTTGGTCTTGGTTTAAGAATGAATGGTTTACAAGGCTTTTTGTTTATTGAAAGCTCAAGGTTTGTTGTTGTATTTTTTAAAATATGTCTGTTTAAAGCTGCCCTTCTGTCTTTGTAGGAATGGGAGCTATGCCAAATGTACCCATGATGCCCAATGTGCCCATTCTGACCCCCATACCTATGGCGACCATGAGCCCTATTCCAGTCATGACTCCCATGATGGGCACAGGACTGCCGGTGTCAATGATGCCCACCATCAGCTCTCAAACCCTGCCTAATGGACCTATTGCCATTCTACAGCCGTCCCCTATGCCTCTCACTTCCAGTAAGAGATATTTAACGTTCACATGCCAGCGCAGCCTTAACCAGTTACAAATACTACAGTATTTGTTTGTCTTTGTTAACTTTAGTTAATAAAGTTGAAATGGGAATAATAAATGCTCTAAAATATTGTTAGATTAACAATGTTAAAGAAAACATTAACTAATGAGTAGGCCCACACAGAATCTGCATGCACAGAAATCCACAGATTTCTGCAGACTATCATTGAATCTATTTATTTACTTGTGTAAATGTGTAAATTTATATCTATTCGGTTTTGAAATTTCAGTAATATTATTGACTAATATGAAAATGTTTATATGATTTATTTACAATACAGCTTGTAAAGTAATATATTCGATCTTTTAGTAGATATGTTATATAAGAGACTTGCTTTGTTTACCAAATAAATGGATCTAATTGGATTTGCATCGGAAGCATTAAATAAAAGTTAAAAATGTATTATTATTTATTTCATATGTTAAGCTTTTAGTTACGATACTCCCAAATTCATTCCACATAAATCTGCAGATTTTTTTTATTTATTTTTTTACAAAATTCTACGCAGAAATAACGAAAAATGTCCGTAGATTGTGGCTGGCCCTACCAATGTGCCTTTATTTTAATGTGTTAAAGTGCTTATTTAGATTAATTCAATTCCTTAAAGTGACCTTAAAAGCACGTATGATGTAGTAAAATGAAATGCTGCTCTTTTAAAATGTATATGCGTAAATAATTCTTAAGCTCATCACATTTTCCACTAATATATTAACTGTATAAAATATTAATAATGGCGAAGCAGTGGCGCAGTAGGTAGTGCTGTCGCTTCACAGCAAGAAGGTCGCTGGGTCGAGCCTCGGCTCAGTTGGCGTTTCTGTGTTGATTTTGCATGTTCTCCCTGCATTCGCATGGGTTTCCTCCGGGTGCTCCGGTTTCCCCCACAGTCCAAAGACATGCGGTACAGGTGAATTGTGTAGTCTAAATTGTCCATAGTGTATGAGTGTGTCTGTGGATGTTTCCCAGAGATGGGTTGCGGCTGGAAGGGCATCCGCTGCATAAAAACTTGCTGGATAAGTTGGCGGTTCATTCCACTGTGGCGACCCCGTATTAATAAAGGGACTAAGCTGGCAAGAAAATGAATGAATATTAATAATACCACAATAAAGCATATTGGGGGAAAAACACACCTATATCTAAAAAATCACATGATTCTTAAAACTGGAGTTATGACTTCAGCTTTGCCTTCACGCACAAATAAGTGACATTTTATAAACATTTAAACATGAAAAATAGGTAATTACTGTTAAATTGTAGTAATATTTTGCAGTGTTTTTGCTTTTACTGCATCTTTTATTAAATAAATGCAACCTTGCTAAGACCACTTTCAAAAGTAACTTACTGACCTCTATATTTAGAACAACAATGTTTACAATATATATATTCTGTATATGTTGCATTATTGCAGATAGGTTATAAACCCCAGTGAGCGATCAGTGTGCTAAAGGTGAAACGACACTGATCTCCTTTGTACTTTACTGAAGTCAGCATTTCCTCCGCTTCAGTCTTTCTATGTCAGGACTAGCTCAGCTTATATCTATGCGAACAAGTATATGGTGATTATACGTTGCATAAACCATCTCAAAATGACGACTTTGCTGGGAATACTGTAATTTTGTTTACAAAATATGGCAGCATTTTATATTCTGGATGATATATTCTTTCTTTAATGGTCTGTACGTTCTGTTCTAGAAGCTTTTATAGAGCATCAGTGACTAGAGATTTTAATCCAGATGTGTGTTTGTTTATATTTTCTGCAGCTCTTCCACTGTCAAGTTCCTTTTCTGCTTCTCCGTTGGGTTTCTCCACCACTTCCATGAACAAAACATCGTCTTTGCTGGACCTAGGGTCGAGCAGGTCAGGATTTTTTACCTCCTTTTATAGTAGTTTATTAATTCATTGAAGCCGTATGCAATACTGTTTGCAAATAAAGTGATTAATGTATAATGTGTGCAGCTCAAACTCCTCCCCCTCCACATCATTGGCCAGTAATTCACCTAAAGGCGGACCCTCTGATTGGGGCGTTCCACAGGCATCACGGCTCAAATACAGGCAACAGTTTAACAGCCTGGACAAGCTAATGAGCGGTTATCTAACAGGTACTTCAATGTAAATGATTTCCAAGTAAATAGTTTAAGAAATGTTTGAAAAGAATTGCCAAATGTGTAGCTCAGCTAACACAAAGTTGATGCAGATTGTTTTTATGCCTGGGGACAAAACTTTTAAAATGCCCAGTGATTACTGTGATAATCTCATGATTTTATGTGATGTAAGGATTTTGGCTGAAAGCTAGTGTAGCAAAATGGCAATCCACACCCATGTGGCTCATCTGCATAGCTGTGGACTGTATCACTTGCATAACTCATGACAATAACGCATCTACTTGAGAATTTCAAGAATGTGGAAGTGGTTAAAGCACAACTTTGTGTTTGGTTTCACAGGTCTATGGTATTGTTTAAATAGAAGCCCACTGCCTAAACCTGCAAGCTGTTTTGTTACATGTAATTTGAGAAGGTTGTGCATTTTTCTGGCTGAGAACTGTTTTCTGATGTCGTAATGTGTTGCTGGTTTAAGCGAATTTTAACCCTGTTGCTTAAGGAATATTGGCCTACTCTAGTTAAACCAGTTCTGTTAGTACAGCAACAATATCCACTAGCTGGTTGTGAAACAATACAGTAAAACAACTTAAAAAAAAACAGCAGATAGATTTTGTGTATTTACTTTCTTAAATTCTATTTCTGCAGGTCCTCAAGTGAGAACTGCAATGGCTACAACATTGCTAACTCAAACACAGCTCGCTGCTATCTGGTAGTGGTTTGTCTTTTTCATTATTTATTACAAATCATTTTTTGAATTAAAATAATCTTAGTTGCTAGTTCCATATTTGTAAAAAAATAAGATTTATAGTCATCAAAAAATGAACTGAGTTGGTGCCATTAGATTGGCTGATTAGATCCTTTGATGAATGGAAACACATAATAAAGTAGCCAGTGAGTCTAATTTATGAGAGGCCTAATTCTATAAAGCATGTAAATGTGTATTTAAAAGGTCACTTTTGACCATTTTAGCATTTATTTCATATTTAAAAGATCATTTTAGATACTAAGCTATTGACACAATTACATATTTTAAATTAGATAAATATTTTTAACTTTTTTTTTTTTTTACCTTTTAGTCCTTTTCTCCAATAACGTTGTATTTATTGATTTGTTTTTTGGTTTCAGGAATCTAGCTGATGTAGATAAGGATGGTAAACTGAAGGCTGATGAGTTTATTCTTGCCATGCATCTGGTAGACATGGCTAAAATGGGACAGCCGCTGCCTTTGGCACTCCCTTCAGATCTGGTGCCCCCATCATTAAGGTACTACCTGCTGTTTTTCTGACCCGATCTCCAATTTGACGTTGATTGGTCAATGTAAAATACGTTTTAAATTTGCTCATTTGATTTATTCATTGAAACTGTAGGGGGAGGCTAGGTGAGTCTATGAATGGAACCACTCCCTCGATCTACGCAGGGCTGGCTGAGGACCTCTGTGAGCCTGAGCCTCCACAGAAATCAAGGAACAATTGTACGGCTTTACACCACACCCATTATTACATAATGCAACTATTTAAGACTCGATTCTTTTATCAAAATATCCTCCCACTTTTGGGTCTTCTAAAGTCTCAAAGTGTTCTATTGAGGCCCATTGATTTAGTTAAATAATTAGATATTGAAAATATTGAAATGACCAATAACATTTTTCACATTGTAGAGTTTGTGTTGGCTGTGAATTGCGTAAAACCGAGTTTAAACATGTACTGTAGAATTACTTGGAACCGCTCTCCCTATTATTTACATACTCAATCCATGCTAAAAAATGTTCCTATGGCACTGTATTAACCCTTATGTGCTGTTATCCACTCTGGGGTGATTCTGAGTCTTAATTTGGCCACAACTTTCTCTATGTTTCAGCAAATGTTAGTTTTTTTTTTTTTTTTGGTGACAACTTATTTCCATACATATTTTGGGAAAATGCTTTGAAAACTTAAAAAGAAAATTCAACAATACACACTAGGCAAATTTACTAATTTACCCTTTCATTATGTTCAGGGCTTTTTTTACCCTATTTACTTTTATTATAATGACTTTTTTATTTTTGCAATGTCATGACACCATATAACCATGCATTCTTGATTGTTGCTGGTTTTCCCTGTTGGAAAAAGGTAACATTTTTCATTTTTAGTGTTGATAGTGTTGATCAATTGCAGTGCAAAAAAAGCTTGGTTTCTGGCTTTAAATTATATGTTTATATGGAGTCTGGTTAGTGTGTGAGACCTTTGGGCGCTTACCTTGATATCTTTGAGAAAATAATAAAAAAGCAGCTTAGCTCTCAGAACATAGTCAGTGTATATACTGTATGTAGACCAGGGGCGTCACTAGACCCTATTTACTGGGGGTAAATGTCTCACACACTAACTATACTTTATATAACCATATAACTTTAAGCCAGAGTAAACTTTAACTTTTTCCCAACAGGGAAAAACACCAACAATTAAGAATGCATGATTATTTGTAGTCATGGCTTTTTAATCAATAAATGTCATAATAATGTAAGTCAATGGGGCAAAAACAACCACAAACATAACGAAAGTGTGCTCAATTTGAACAGTACCCAACGGGTAAAGTACCATTTATCTGGAAAATTACATAATGAACATTCTAGTTTATACTACTAATTTCCTGTATGTTTTTTATGCATGCAGTGACTTTTGAGGATAAGTTCAAGAAAAACATGGAGCTTGGAAATGCAGAGCTGGAGAAGCGCCGACAGGTCCTGCAGGAGCAGCAGCGCAGGGAGGAGGAGAGGAGAGCACAGAAGGCCAGAGAGGAGCAGGAGCGGAGAGAAAGAGAAGCACGAGAGCTGGAGCTGAAGAGGAAGAGGGAAGAAGAGATCCGACTGGAGCGACAGAGGGAGCTGGAGAGACAGAGAGAGGAGGAGAGACTCAAAGAGCTGGAGAGGAAGGAGGTGAGAGTTTGATCTTGCAAATGATCTTTTATGTTCTGACTGAAATTTGGCACATTCCTAATGTATAGGTCGTTCTTATTATTTTCTGTTGGAAAAGATTAAACATTTGACGATCTAGTTAACCTCATTAACATCATGAATCATTGTCATCCTCATATTAAGTGAAATTTGTAAAACCGAAAGTAAAGCAAAATGTCTAAATAGATATTCATGATTCATTTGGTCACACTATTGACCTTATTCTTGATGTATGAGCGGGTGCAGCCATCTTTTTTGCTCCAGACTTCTGGTCTAATTTACTTTCATTAATTCTTAGATGTTAAAAATAGCTTGTAATGCTGCTTAATGTTGCAAACTGTTGCAATTTTCGTATTATATTATTCTACTTTTTATGTATAGTCATGGACACACTTGTTTATAGAGCAAGTAGTTTGGATGTTTTCTGCCGTTTATTATTTGTAGTCATGTCTCCCATAGGCAACTGAATTTATAAGTTCTAAAACAAGCACACTTCCACATTGTTGAATAAGGTCAATAGGTTGGGCACAATTCAAACTATTAACTTTGCTTTTGCCTTTAATAATCATTTAAATTGCTGCTCGGTAATAGTTAGTAGGGTGCTGTTAAGTTAAGATATGGGCTTAGGTTTAAGGGGTCTGGGGACTGTTCTTCGTACTTGTATGAATAAGCTAGGTGGATTTGTTAATTGACTATCTGCCATGATCCAGCACAATGTTGTTCTTCAAAACTCTTCCAGGGGTTGTTGCCGTAACCACATAATTCATATAAACAGAATTAGATTTAACATTTTTAAGTAAATATGACACTGAAAGTATTTTTTAACTCCTAACATGTTTTACATGAGTGCTGTATTGAATAACAGTGTTGTAAAATTATTTTAAAAAATACATTAAATTTTTTTTATTCATAATTTCAAGTGTTATGCAGTCACTGGCATAAATTTTTAAGTGGGTTAAAAAAAGGTTTAATATTTTTGGTTATCATTATAGACTTTAGCTATCAATGTATTCTTAAGATTCTACTATTCACCTTTTAGATTCAAGTGTGTACTTTGAAAAGGTACTAGCCCAGCTTTAATTCATTGTTTGAGACTTTATAATAATAGACATGGCCAGTATTCTCATTAAGGGAGTTTTTATTTTATTTTTTTGAGGAACAAAAATGTCTAATTTACAGGAGCATTTAATTTTACAATGCTTTTTCTATACAAAATTAATTTAGATAGCCAGTTATGTCTTGCGCTGTGTAATTAAGAAACTTGAATACTGTCATGCAGAAAATCCACTGTAAAAGTAAAACTAAATTAATTGCTAAATACACTTAACAGAAAATGAAATAAATGTGTAAATGGCCTACAAAAAAGGTAGATCGTTATTGTGTATCATTTAACAAACTCTTTCAGTTACTACAAATTTTTCATTTTGCTCACTTAAATGATTATTAATAAGATTAATTTGACTATTAATAATTTTATATTATTAATGAATAATGAATCCAGCCATGGTCATCACTGTATTGATGACCATGATTTTGAGAATCGATAGATCTGTCCTTCAAACCAAAAATGCAGTAATTTTAGACTAGATATGTAGATATTTCAATCTGATTTGAAAAGGTGTTTGAAGTTTAGCCAGGGATCAGTTATCAGGGTTAAATGATCCAGAATCTGCAAACTTCTCTTCAATCGTTTAAGCTGAAACATGGTCTATACAGAATAAGCTTTTGATCAGTACTGGTTATAAGCAAGTAGTTAATTGGTTTTCAAACAAAATGACCACCGCTGTGATGGACTTTACAGGCAGCCAAGAAGGAGCTTGAACGCCAGCAACAGCTTGAGTGGGAGAGGAGAAGAAAGCAGGAGCTGCAGAACCAGAAGAGCGAGGAACAGGAGGACATCATCAAGCTCCGAGCCAAGAAGAGGAGTCTGGAGATGGAGCTGGAGGCTGTGGTGAGGCTTTAGGGATGAGAACACCATGCTATCAATGAATAATTCTTTTTTTTATATATACAGTCAGAATGTTTTCTGAAGAGATTTTTCTTCTTTTAAGGGCAACAAGCAGAAGCAAATCTCTGACAAGCTCAGAGATGCTCAAGGCAGAAAGAGAATTCATAAAAATGAGCTGGAAATGATCAACCAGAAAAGAGACTCCTGCATCACTGAAATCAGCTCTCTGCAGAAGCAGTTAGAGGTCTGGCTGCAGCATTCATACAGCCACACACAGTTATTAAAATAAAAATAAAACAGATTTAATATGTAATTTGCCTTTCAAGAGCATGTTTTTTGTTCGTTTGTTCCCCTTTTAGTCCATTTTAAAACCTTTATTTTAAAATTTGTTACAAAATGTAGTTGTTTGTTTTTTGCAAGTCACACATTTACTCTTATTTTATATACATTTACTATATGCATTTGCTTATATGCATTTACAGTTAGAATTAGCAAGCAGTGCTTTGTCGGGACAGCATTCTTGTAAGGCATTCAGATCAAATACACCGTGTTCTGAGATAGGAGGTGCTATTTGGTTTTCAGTGCAATAACAAACGAATGTGCTCCTTCACAGAATCAAACAATGCTGCTTTTTGTGTAACACATTTGCAGTTATAAATTATGGAACTGCCTGATTTATTGGTCTATTGGGTCAGAATACATTCCCACCTCAAATTAACGGCCTCAGAGAATATTTTCATCAAGTCAGAAACCAAGTTCAGTTCAGATGAATTTAGATCATTGTTTTTTTTTTTGTGCAGATTTTTGCCATGTTCTCACATGCCTAAACAAATCTTAAGTTGTAATATTAAAACTTGATTTGGAATATTACAAGCAGACACTAAAATATGTTATGTACTAGCTATTGGTGGAGTGGAGAGACAGGGATAGAACCAATTCAGTGGATGGGGATGATTGGTAAGGGCAGATGGAAATTTAGCCAGGATATCAGGGTTACATCCCTACTGATTTACGAAAAATGTCATGGGATTTTTAATGACCACAGAGAGTCAGGACCTCGGTTTAACGTCTCATCTGAAAGACAGCGCTCAGTCAGATAGTGTCCCCTTCACTTTACTGGGGCATTAGGACTCACTCAGACCGCAGGTTGAGCCCCCCCTGCTGGCTTCACTAACACTACTTTCAAAAGCAACCTAGTTTTCCCATGTGGTCTCCCTTTCAGGTATTAACCAGGCTCTGCCCTGCTTAGCTTCAGTGAGTAACCGCTCTTAGGCTGCAGGGTGATGTGACTGTGGCAAAATGTGCATATCTTTTTTTTTATTATTATTTAACAAAGGTCAATTTTAGGTGTAGATTACCTTACAATGGCATAGCAGTCATCATTCTAACTCATGTTGTACTTTTATATTTACTTTTTTTGTTTGTTTTTGCAGGACTTTAAGAGAAAATTGGGACAGTCAACTTCTGAGCAGCAGAAACTCACTGACAAACTCCGCAGTTTGAGTCTAAACAGCGTTCCTAGTAAGACACCACATTTAAACAGTTTTTTCCACAAGCATGTCATTTTAAAACATTACATTCTGATTGTGATAGAAAATCCTTGCTGCCTATAGTTATTAAATTTGTTTGTTTCTGCCTTTATTTGTTTTGTTTTCCTACGATAGCTGCAACGGTGAAGACTTTGCAGAACAATATGGAGGAGAAGGATCTTTCCTGTCGAAAGCTTAAAGAGCAACTTAACGCTGTAGAAAAAGAGACGGCGGCAAAATTGGCAGACATGGATCAGTATAAGAAAGACATTCAGGTAAGCCATTAAACTGCTCGACCTTCATGACTAATAAATTCACCTAAACCAATCAGAGCAGAACAAACTGATCCGCATGCCTTTACACTTTCAGGACATTTTAACTTGACTGATATGAGACCACATAATTCCCCAGCTGTAGTGAATTAGCATTTGTTTCTGTAACCGATCAGTGCTAACACCATATAGACTGCTTCTGATGACACTAATGCGAATAACACCCCCTATGCTTTTGTCCCTGTGTCTTTATCACTAGCTGTAGAGCTTTTCTGTCTGTCTGTCTACTTGTCTGTCTCTCCCTGGCTTTCGCTGCAGTTTGAGGAAATGGATGACTGCATGCTTAAAGGCCTGCTCTCTATACTGAGTTGCCTCAGCAATCTCTTCTTCCTTCTGAAGGTCTCTTTTTTTCTCCTTTTCTTGCTTCATTCTTCCTGTAGCAGCTTCACCTTTAGATCATCACCAAAGATATCTTTACTGAGAAAATGATTACTAATGAATTACAGTCGAAATAAGATGGCATTCAATAGAAAGTTTGATAATGTGACTATCTAATCTAACTAAGTGGATTGGTTATATAGGATAAGTGTTGGGGAAAGTTAGTTTAGAAAGTAATGCATTACAATATTGAGTTACTCCCCAAAAAAGGAACTAGTTGCGGTACTTAGTTATTTTTTATGGTAAGTAATGCATTAGGTTACTTTTGAGTTACTTTTGCATTACTTTTTGGGACCTGGCTGAGTCTTGATCTCTTTCAGAACTTGCAGAGTTTTGTTCTTCTGTATTAACAAGAGGAGCTCTGCAATTAACAACACACTGTATAACCTTTATTTACCTTTGTAAATGTTCAGAGAACTTCCTGACCCTAGAGCTATGCATGACATGGATACAGATTAATAATAGTTTATAGCAATGCATTTGCTACTTTTACTGTTTTAATAAGACAAATAGTGCAAATTACCATCTATACAGCTAATACTCTTCTCCTTTTCTCCCATGTGTTCAAAATAATGAACATTTTCCATCGCAGAAATGCCTATTTCTGTCTTGTTTCTGCATTCTCTCATTGCGTGCAGGATTCAATGTGACTATGTACATATTAACTCGGCAATTTATTTTTTAAAAGTGAATTAACTAAATGATTGCATTACATATTTAAAAAGTAAATCAAATATTATTACTTAATTTTTTTAAAGTAGTGCATTACATATATATTTTGCTCCTAGCCTGACTGTATTACCATGTTTACTTGTTTGTATATTTCCCCCTTTTATATATATTTTTTACTTTCCCACTGTGTGACTGAGACTGTATTTGTATATGCTGATGTATCGAAATAACGGACGACTAATAAAAAAATAAAAAATAAAAAAAAGTAGTGCATTACTTTACTCGTTATTTAGTAAAGTAATCTCATTACGTTATCCCCAACACTGTATAGGATGATAGAATATTACTTGTTATTGATATTTCCTGTGCATCTGATCTTGGTTCAGAGTTTATATCAGCTGTAGAGAAATATTTTGATGGAAGATCAGTTATTTTAAAATTGAAATCGATAGAACTGGGAACATTTATTTAAAAAATTGTCATGTTTAAGGAATGCTGTTTTAGCATGATTATGATTTTACTGTATTGTTTTTGTACTGTTTTATATTAGTATTTTTTAATGTTTTTTCCATGTACATTTTAATTGTAAAGTTTTTGTTAATTTTACATTTATTTTAGTACATAAAAGTTAATAAAATTAAAACTTACCCCAATAAAAATGCTTACTTAGCTTGTTTCAAGGAAAAACTCACTTAGTTTTAACATATTTGTTCTTAAAACAAGACAATATTTTTTGCTCGTCTAGGAAATGATTCTTGATTTAATTATTATTAGATATTTTGACTAAAAACAAGACTAAAAGTCTAAGAACGAAAAGCAGTGTACAAAAATGCTACTAAGGACAATTCTTAAAAACGGGTACAGTTTTTTTTTTTTTTGTTTGTTTGTTTGTTTTTGTCTCAGTTGCATGAATTGTGTCTGAATTGAATTCAATGTGTCAAAGTTCTGCAATTTGTTTATAAGGATCTCCGTGAGAGCCAGAGGATGCAAGAGTCTGCTTTGGAAAAACTGCGCACCATCAAGGAAGAAAAAATACGAGAGCTTAAGAAGCGAAAGCAGGAAGAACTTGAAAAGAAAAGAAGAGAAGAGGAAGAACAGAAGTAAGTAATGATTTCCTAAACGTACACAACAATTTAAAATCAATCAGGATCTCACAAGCAAACGTTATTTGTCCCATCCAGACGCATCAAACTAGAAAAGGAGCGACAGTGGCAGGAGAAACTTCGTCGCGACGAAGAGGAGAAACAAAGGAAAATTCAAGAGGAACGAGATGCCAAACTTCGTGAGGAGGAAGAGAGAGAAAGACAAGCTCGCTTACAGGCTGCTAAAGAACAAGCGGAACGAGAGCGCAAGGCCCGTGAAGAAGAGGAGAGGAGGCGTAGGGAGGAGGAGGAAGAACGGAGAGAACAAGAGAGACGCAGACTGGAGGAGGAGGACCGCAGGCGGAGAGATGAAGAGAGGAGGAAGCTGGAGGAAGAAAGGAGGAAACTGGAGGAAGAAAGGAGAAAGCTGGAGGATGAGAGAAAAAGACAGGAGGAGATAAGATTGAAGGAAGAGAGGGAGAGGGAGGAGCGCAGGAGAGCAGAGGAGGAGAGGAGGAGGAAAGAGGAAGAGAGACGAGAAGAGGAGCGGAAGAGAGAGCGTGAGGAGGAGGAAAGGAGACGTCATCGAGCACAGGAAGCGGCTATGAGGGATGCGGAGGAGAGGAAGAGGATCGAGGAGGAGAGGAAGAGAAAAGAGGAAGAGCGGAGAAAGCAGGAAGAGGAGGACAGGAGGCGGAGGGAGGAGGAGCAAAGGAAACAGGATGAGGAGAGGAAGAGGAAACAGCAGCAGGAAGAGGCAGCAGCCGCCAGATTGAGGGATGATGAACAGAATAAGAAGAACACTGTTAAATCAGACCTCGTTTCTGCTCTTCTGCGCGGCCTGGAGGAGAGGAAAGGTTAGAAAAATGATGAAAGCATGCATTATAAGATCAACCAGCATGGCTGGTCATGTCATCTCTGATATGATAGGAATGAATGAAATTTCGATTTCCTTGTGATTTCAGGCGGCAGACGTCCTCTCGGCACGCAGCACAGGAGATCAGCTGCACTGACCACGTTTAAAGCGCTTTACCCCTTCACTGCCAGAAATGAGGAAGAGCTCTCCTTTGAATCAGATGATCTGATCGAGGTCAGTTTGATAGAAAATTGTATTTTATTTCTTTGTCATTTTTAACAACATATGCACAAACATAAATAAAAAAACTTATTTTTGTTGTCAGGGCTTCAGTTATTATTGGCTGTATTTTTAGTTATTTTGAAAGTACAATACATTTACACTGCTATACAAACTTTACACCGACTACTTTTCATTGTGTCAAAGAGTTATTTCTGCAGTGTTGTCCAATGAAAATATATAAATAAATATTTGCAGAAATAGGAGGGGTGTACTCACTTTTGTGACATATGGTAGATGAATACATTTTAAAGTAATATTTTTACATTACCAAATCAGAATCATTTAAAAAAAGGCATACATTTTTTTAGCTAACATATATGCACAAGCATTGTTTTTTTTATTGCTCAAAAAAAAAATTTATCTTCATTTTTTTAATCAAATATAATTCAACTATAATCAATTATATAACATTTTAATTATTGTTATGAATTCTGTTACAGTAATTACAGTTTTGCAGGGAATACTGTTTTATGGAGAGAAAGCTCTGAAGGCTGTTACCTAAAAGCAATTAATATTTTTTGTGTAATAATACATTTATTACACAAATTAGAAAACAAGCTTTGGAAAGCTGAAAATTAATGTTGTTTTGTGTGTGTGTATGTAAGTGTATTGGATCAAGGGTGTTGCTTTCAGCTGCTTCCTGAAAGATGTGTTTGTGTCAGCAGTTCAGATGGAGCCTTCAAATGAGAAGGTTCAGAGCATGTGGTGAAAGAGCATGTCCACTGCATGGAGTTCAAATCTAGAGTTTGCTCAGCTGGATTTTTGTTTGTTTAGGTGGATGAGAGCGTAGAGCGTGAGCAGGGCTGGCTATACGGCAGTTGGCAAGGGAAGATGGGCTGGTTTCCTGAGAGCTATGTGGAGAAGCAGACCAAGTCTGAGGCTCCGGTCGTGGCTAAACAAGCCCTAAAACCCCAGGTCTCCATCTCTGTCAGGTGTGGTCCCCATTCTAAATTTATCATCCTTTTGAAATGCATCATTTACACCCTTGTTTTACATTTGTACACACTTTCTCATGCACACTCACAGACAAAGTGCATGTTGCTGTAGATCCATTACAGAAAAAAAACATTCACAGCTACAGACTGCATGTCTACATTTTGATATTTTCACACAAAGTCCAAAAGTATTAGCAAAGAATTTCTCACATCAGGTCTGATACCTTGTCTTACTCTGATATAAAATTGATGTCCAAAAAATAAATAAAAGAAGGATTGTTTTATGTAAGGACTTTGTGTGAATCTGTTCTTGGAGGTGCACTCTTTCTTTTTAAAATATTGCTGGGCAATATTAGGAATATTCTAAACCCCTTCTTCATTAGCAAACTGAGTGACGGACCGGGTGGATCACGACTGAACTCTGCCTTCACCCCTACACATGCCACAGGCTCCACCTCTTCCAACCACGGACAGGTATGCAGGACTCCTTGACGATAACCACATTGTGTTTGCATGAGATAAAGTCAGAGCTGGGTACATTTTCAGACAAATGTGCATTGAGGGAAAAATAAATAACCTGCACTGAGGACTGTTAAATTAGAATTTCCATCATCAGTGAAGAAAATACCATGTTTAAAGACTTTAAAGTTTTAAGACTGTTTAAAGCTTCAATTACACCTAAACCCCAACAAATCCTTTAAAGGAGCTTGAAGCAATTTGTCAAATGCTTTTGACCCCAGTGTCAGACCAATGCTCATAACACAAAAACAAAACTGGTCCTATTGGGTTATTGGGTGTGTTTGTTTTGGGGTTTTCAAATAACAGCATAGTTTAACAAAAATTGCTTGGTACACCTTTAAACTTAATGACTTGACTTTCTTTATTATCCACAAATGGAAATGTGTCTTTGGCTTCACCACATAATTACATAAACATTCACATCCTGTATATCACAAAAAAACAAGTAACAAAATATCATCAAATAAATCACATTACAAACGCATTGAACCGTGTTCATACTTGAAATCCAGTATTAAAAATTTTAATGGTAGTCGGCACAAATGACATTTGATTTTCATTTATCCTAAAATGTCTTTTTGATAGCAAAAGCTGAAATGTTTAAGAGATTGGAAATTCTTTTTTACCATCTCCAAAATTTGTTTACTCAAAACTGTTTTAACCTCCTAATAAGATATAATCTCTGCTTTGCTTTTTAAAAAATACATTTCACATTTCCAGCAAATGTCAATTTACTATCATTAAATGTATTTTAAATATTTAAACATCTAGCTGTCTCTGTTTGATAAGTTTTTTTTAGAAGAGAATATGAATGAAAAATGTAAAAAAAAATGTTGTGCTTGCTATAAATGCTGTTTTATATAAATGTCACACATATTTGAGTTAATTTAAAGCAAACTGAAAGTATCTCTGAAATCTCTCTCTTCTTCAAAAGTATATGTATTTTGTTCATGTTTTCTTACTTGATCTTAGGTTGCTTTTAGACCTGTAGATCAATTGTTTTGTTCCAAAAAGTGAATTAAAATTGTTACAATGTGGCACTTAGTTCTTGGTGCGATTCCCTTTTACACTGCAAAATTTCTAAATGGACTAAGGGTGCTTTCACACCTGTGAATCGATTCAGTTGTTCCGAAACAGAGATTACAAATGTTACATTGTTGCTCTTTGCTCTTGGTGTGGTTGGCTTTCACATTGCAAAGTTTCTAATCTGACCAAAAGAGCTAAAACAAGTCACGTGCGAGTAAACTCTCCTCACATTGGTCAGAGTGTCAGTGTTTATTTTGCTGAGTCCCACTCAGCTGTCAGGAGATGTGGTGGTTTGGTGGTGTTTGAAAAGGTGTGCGCGACGTGTCTGAAGAGTGAGGAGAGATGCGGTGGGGAGGGATGAGAAGGGTGCGTGACTATTTAAGGACAGGGAGGGAGACGCGAGATTACCGGGAGATCATCACTCTTTTGCGGGCATCTGGAGACTCACGAAACTTCCCACCATACTCGTAATTCTCTCTTTATATAGCCGTAAGCCTATTACATATCCATAAAACACTGTGATATAACCGCGCTCAGATCGTTTGCTTTCTCACTGCAATCGATCCGCTCCAGAGTTCGTTTCAATCGAGCCGAGACCACCTCATTCAGGCGATTTCGGAGTGATTGATTTGGCGCAGATCCGAGAGCAATTGGTGGTTTCACATTTGCCAAACGAACCGCGCTTACTGGGCAAACGAGACAGGTTCCGAAACAAAAGTCTAGGTGTAAAAGCACCCTAAAATAGTTAAAACAGGTCACGTGCGAGTAAACTATTATCATATTGGTCAGAGTTCCACAGTTTATTTTTCAGAGTACCACTAAGCTGTCATGCATGCTTATTTAATTAATGACGGTGAGCAATAAGACATTATTTGCTAAAAGCTGCGCTTTAATTTTGAATTGTGACACCAGCAGACATCGTCACTAAATATAGATCAGAGCAAGGCTTTCTCATACATAGCCGTCAGTAGGAATTACATCCCGCCCTACTCTTAATTCTCATTCCTATAGCCATATATACCTTAACATATCCATAATGCACTGTGAAATTGCCTGGTTCGTTAGTTTGTTGGATCTAATTGCTTTCTCACTACAATCGATTTGCTACATTTTAGGTGATCTCGGACCGATTGGTTTGTGATTTCTGGAATCACATATGCCAAACAAACTGCGAAGACTGGGAAAACTTGCCAAGTTCAGAAACAAATGTCTAGATGTGAAAGCACCCTTAGTTTCATTATGGACGTCACTTTGTAAAATAGACTTCCAAATACAAATTACAGTTGCATGTTGAAGTCTGGTTTTTCAAATAAAATCCAGAAAGTGGTTAGTGATATAATTTGTTAGATGCACATTTTAGGTAACGTAGTGCCTCTGGTTTTTCTTTCTCATTGGCATGATTTTGACCTGCCTTACAACTTTCAGTGAGAATAATAATGGGTAAAACATGCTAAAAGTGAACTGCGGTGACATTTTCTGCATGCTTTTAGGTGGTGGGGAATGTGCAAGCTCAGGCTCTGTGCTCTTGGTCTGCAAAGACGGACAACCATCTCGACTTCTCCAAGGACGACGTGATCACTGTTCTGGAGCAGCAGGAGAACTGGTGGCTGGGAGAGCTCGATGGAGTTCAGGGCTGGTTCCCCAAAACCTATGTTACAGTTCTGAGCACCAGTGATGCACAAGCAGAGTAAATACACACACCATGATGATGTGGCTGTGATGTTACTGTTTTCCTTTTTTGAGCGGATAGCTTGAGTGTGTAGCTGTGAGTGTTACATGTACTTTGTCTGTGGAAAGTGCTGTTGTGAAATGGCAATTTAAATAATTCTTTGCATACAGTAGCACTGTTGCCCTGAGGTGCTTTCTGCAAAGACATTGATGTTTGTTGCTTTACTTTCTCTTTTAGGTTGACATTTGTCATTTAACAGCTTTATTTTTGTTTTTTAAGTGCTTTATTCCTAACCCTAAACCACTGTTGTCTAGTTTAGTTCTTGACTTTATTATTCTTTTCATCTTGTAGTTCCACTGATGCATCTGATACAACTGATGGATCCAACTATGAAGGTAAACCATAGATTTGTGCTGTCAAATGTTTTTGAATTTGATTTACTCCTGTCATGGGAAACTTCATTAGTTAATTGTTTTTTTTTTTTTTTTTTTATTCTTCAGAACAATAACACGCTGATTTATTATCTTTAGAATCGTTTAGCAGGTTTTATAGAAATATTTTTTACAGCAATCTTAAAGGGATAGTTCACCCCAAAATACAAATGTCCCCACCATTTACTCAAAATCAAGTGGTTCTTAAGTAAGTTAGTAATGTATATTTTATACAGTGCATTTATCGTGTATGGCTATACACCCAAAGTGCTTTACAACCATGAGGGTGGACTCTCCCCACCACCAGTGTGCAGCGTCCAATTGAATGAGGAGACTGCAGCCACAGGACAACAGTGCCAGTGCGCTCACCACACACCAGCTATTGGTGGAGTAAAGAGACAGTGATGGAGCCAATTTGGAGGATGGGGATGATTGGGAGACCATGATGAATAAGAGCCAATGGAGGGAATTTAGCCAGGACACCGGGCTTACACCCCTAAACTTTGAGAAGTGCCATGATTTCTACCATGACCACAGAGAGTCAGGACCTCGGCTTAATGGATCTTCTGAAAGACACCGCCCACTGACAGTATGGTGTCCCCTTCACTAAAGTGGGGCATTAGGACTCACACAGACTGCAGGTTGAGCACCCACTAATGGCATCGCTTATACCACTTCCAACAGCAATCTAGTTTTCCCATGTGGTCTCTCATCCAGGTACTAACCAGGCTCAGCCCAGCTTTGCATCAGTCTTGGACAGCAGGCACTGACACTCATCATAGAAACAAAAAATCTATGTTAGTCAATGTTCTATGACTAACTTAAGTATATCTTCCTTTTGGAACAGGTGAGGATGAGTAAATGAGGATGGACTTTTTATTTTTTGGGTGGACTATTCTTTTAAGTTCCTGAAAACAACATGTTCTTAAAATATTTAAGAATTTTTAAGTATTTGATGTCTTTTTGATGTCAGTTTAATGCACCCTTGTTACAAAGCAAACTATTAATTTACCTTTAATAAATGATCCCAAACCTTTAAATTTCAGTATTTTGTGTAATTTGTTTTTTTTAATTTAACACAAATGTGTATTTAATATAAACTTAAACAATCATTTCCAATATGTGTGCATGTGTATGTTCATTTACATAATGTTTTGTGTCTGGTATGCCTGTGAACTCATGTATTTACATAATCATTGTCCTTTCCTTAGATTCCCTAAACCCTATGTTATACATTTATCTCATCCTCAGAATACGTCGCTCTTTACACTTATGAGAGTCCTGAGCCTGGAGACCTGACCTTCAATGAGGGTGACACTATCCTGGTCTCAGAGAGAGAGGGAGAATGGTGGAGGGGAAGCATCGGAGACCGAGCAGGACTCTTCCCGTCCAATTACGTCAAGCCAAAGGAGACCGATGTAAATTTGAATTTTAGATGTAGCTATACTGCTACTTGTACAAGTTGTTGTGATTTTTTTAAAGTTTTTTTTTTTTTTTTTTTTTTTTTTTTATTCATTAGACATCAAGTCTCTCTGGCAAATCTGGAATGCCTGGCAAGAAACCTGGTAAATAAAAGAGCCAAGTTAAATAACAAAATAAAAATCATTGTTTATTTATTGTAATTTGTAATATATGTTTTTTTTTATTTATTAATTTTTTTTGGTAGAAGTGGCTCAGGTTACTACTGCATGCACAGCTGCAGGTGCAGAACAGCTAAATCTCTCCCCTGGTCAACTCATTCTTATCCTCAACAAAAACCCCTCCGGCTGGTGGCTCGGGGAACTGCAGGTGAGTAAAATATTAAAATGTAAAAAAAAATGCTAAAACATGGTGTTTTTCCATGAATTCAGCGAATTGTGCATTAGATATGTACAGCTTTATAAATATTTTAACCTAATGGCGTGTAAGTGTGTACTGTTTTGATTACAGTAAGGCTTGCTTGGAATCTCAGTGAAGTAACTAAAATACTAAAAATACTATAGATATTAAAAATGACTAGGTTCTAGCTAAAGAAGCTGTACCGAATCAAGTTGTGTCATACCATACAGCTGAAAAGTGCCTTAATTTTCTGTACTATAATTCTGTGCTTTTTCAAAATCCAAATGACATTTTAAAAGGATCAAATTATTTTGACAAAATAGTGCAGAATTTGATTTGATAGACTCTAGGGCTGCACGATTCATCGAAAAAAGATCACGAACTCAATTCGACCCTACATACGATCTTAATTCAGCATTTTTTTTACGATTCAGCCAATTATATTTTCAAGGTCATGAGAGAAGCAAAGCAGTCGCACATGTCTTCACAGCAACATTGACACTTTCAAATGGCGTTAAAAGTGTCACATACTGTATTTATAAGGTATAATTCACTAAAAAATGTCATTTCTGCCTTCATTTCATGATGTATTTGCAGCCGCGAAATCACACGTGAGCTGATACAATGTTTGTTTACTACTGTGAACGTGCGGGTGCACATCCAATGACGGCTACTTTAGTGAACACATCCTGCATAGGTTGTGAAAAACAGGTAATGAAATTGTAAATAACGTACAGTTTGTTGCACAGATCGATCGTTTGAGGGCCGTGCGGGAGGTTTTATTTGAATGTATTGTGTTTTTTTTTCACTGTGACAGCAGCAATGAGCTGCACTCGGAAGTGAAAGTGAAACCTGTGCGCACATCATTTAAATGATCATATTGCATTTTAGAGTTATGATTATGACAAGCATTTGATGTGCTTTTTCTTACATAGCGAACACAGAGTGTTGTGCATGAAAATAAATGTGTACTGTATCAGTATAACAACCCTAGCCTATATATATAATGTTGAATATATATTGCAAGAAGGAATCTGATAATGACAAAATTCTAATTTTACCAGTGTAAACAAATGGTCTAATAATATTGTTAATAACAGATGACAAGCCCATGTCTTAAACATATTTATTTAGCTTTATAATTATGAATAGTTATATTCTGATGTCATCACTTTGCTGTGAATTAATAAACAGAATATATTGAAAGTCTGTTCAAGTCCATCATAATGACTATAGAAAATTTAGCATTTTAAGCAACAGTAGAGCTACACATAGGCCTGTTATTATTGTTGTTGTTTTACCATATGTTTGAGAGTCAACAATAATAATAGGCTAATCATATTACATTTACATTTAGTCATTTAGCAGACGCTTTTATCCAAAGCGACTTACTAATTAACCTTTATTTTACATTTACAGAATCGTGAGAAAATCGTGTTCATGATTTTAAACAAAAAAAAAAAAGTGGTTCTCATTTTTGCCAAAATGCAAGAGACTTTAAATAGGAAATCTGCATATTTGTCATGTCTGTGTAAATAAATGGTGCATTTCCATTTATTTTTTGCAAAGATTTTTATGTTTCCAGTGTCCGTTGTCTCACTATGCAAAAATAAATACATCAGCTCAATCATCAGAGCCAATCTGACGGTCACTTCACAAGTATTTGAACATTTTATGTGGAGAAAGCTGTTGTCCTAAGAATTTGTATGAAATTGCCACCATGTAAAATAGTTACATTTTTCTTATGAGATTGAGCAATTATTATTATTTTTTGCATGATTTCAATATGTTCAAATTTAATATACGTGTTTTTTTTTTTTTTCGTTTTTTTGGTGAAGACCAATACAAGCAAATGTATTTTTTAGAATACAAGCAAGATTGATTATTGGATAAATAGAATAATATATGGATAAATGCGTAGATAATAAACAGATGAAGTGATGTATAAATTGATGGATTAAATTATTAACTACAACCAAGTAGATGAAAAACAGATTAATATACCTGTCATGTTTTTTATTCCTTGTGTCATCAGGCCAGGGGGAAGAAACGTCAGAAGGGCTGGTTCCCTGCTTCACATGTCAAGCTCCTGGGATCAAACAGCGGCAAATCCACACCTGCAACGCCATCAGGTTAAAAACACAGTCATAATCCAAGGTTGGTTATTTTGCTGTAGTCATTTCACCAATCATTTATCTCCCTCTCCTTTTTTTCAGTTGGCCAAGTCATCGCTATTTACGACTACACCGCAGCGAACGAGGACGAGCTGAGCTTCTCGAAGAGTCAAGTCATCAACGTTCTGGACAAAAGCAATCCTGACTGGTGGAAAGGAGAGCTCAATGGGGTCACAGGCTTGATTCCTACCAACTATGTGAAATTGACCACAGATTCTGACCCCAGTCAGCAGTGTAAGTAGAGACCCATAAACAGACCAGTTTATTTTGGCTCTGTGTTTCAGATTATCACGCAAGCACTTGGTTGACAGTTTCAGATTATTTTCAAAAAAAGCGTGTTGCTGATTATGCTTTTTAAATGTGGGTGTTTATTATCTGATAGGGTTTGTATTTATGACAGAATGTATTTAATCACTTCATCACAATGACATTTTACCCAGAATGAAATATTTTAATCATCAGTATCAATTGTTAATTCATGGTGCCTTCTTTTGTGCTCTGTATATAAGGGGTGTTTTCCAGTTATTTCAAGTTGTACAGGTAGTGTCTAATATAATGTCAGACATTTGTTCACCTCATCCATATTTAGGCACACATTCACATTTCTCACTCTCATTCTATTTCCCCCTTTGACTTTTTCTTCTCATTTGTGTCCTTTTCTGTTGGGTGGTAAAACCTGTTACTTTTGCCCCTGAGGGACCCACTATCCTCCTCTTACGGTAAAGGTGGCCCTGTTGAAACCACCACTCAGTCAGTCAATTTTTTTTATCTCTCATTAACCGTTTGATTTCTTTTAATCTAAAACAAGGGGTTTCATTCATTTCACTGGTGATCTGGGCCAATCCTGACTGATTAGTAGGTGGATAGTGCGTCTTTCTGTCGTGGTCCTTAAATATTTTCTTAATTTTTTATTTGCTTCAAGTATATTTTTAGGTGGCAGACTATTTTTATTTGGTCACTTTTGAAAGGTGGACAGTAAAACTGTTGCTTCTCAGTTTAGTCATTTTAAGAAATGTTACAAAGTGTGAAACTGCTTCAGTGTATCAACGCAATCACACTTAAATATGCATTTTATAAGTTAGTATTATTAATCTCCATGTATTGCTAGCACTTTGACATCAAGAACAAACAACAGTCACTTTGGAGGCTGTTTTACCTTTAGTTGGTTTCTCATATGCTTTTGTTTCATTTGTATCCATTTTATTTGTCAATTATAAAGCAATGTAATAACGAAAAGAATTTGCAGCTTTTGTATCTGTGGTGTATTTAAAGAAATGCTGCTGCTATTTTAAGCACAATGCTTTGGCCTTAGGTGGTATTGTTATACATTTACTGCGTTTTATGCCATGTTTTGTGCATGACTCGCTTCTGTATAAACGGATAATATTATATGGGAAACTATGCAAATAGTTGTTAAGTTGTGGACGAATGTTTATCATTTTATGGGATGTTGTTAATAATTCTTCAGATATCTCAAACACTTTGGATCATGTACTGATTTGATTTGAAAAAATCTAGACATTAAAGTCTTTTAAACAAAACAAAGGTCGTGCCTTTTAATTTTTGCAACATAAGAGGTCAGTGTTAGTGTAAAGATACTTTGATGCAGTTTTTTGTTTCTTAAATAACCTGTAGCACATAAATATTCCAGCTTTTAGCATCTATTTTTAATTTGAAGTAAATTTTGTTTAGTGCAATGCATTTTAGAAAAATGACAACACAACTTGGTTTTAAAGAAGTATCTACCTATATTTTGCATATTTGTCTTGAACATTTAAACCTTACAACCTGTACATTATGTAAAATTTCCAGTACATACTAACAGCATTACTCTACTTAATCTTCACTGTCATCTAGTTACGTTTGTCCTGCTGTTGTATTTTGGGTGAAACAATGAATAATCCTGCCTGCATGCAGCATTCAGCACAGTAAATTAGCAGCTTTACAAAGCACAGCTCAAGAAAATGAGTGATCATTCAGGTGTTAAACTGCTATTTTTACGCCTATGGGATGAGGAGGATGAAGGCACCACTAAAGGCACCCCGGATGGTCAAACGGACCGACCATCAGAAGGTGAGGATTCACGCTGGAGCCTTTTGGAGTGTCTTCAACACGCTGCGACTGACATTATCCTGCTTTTTGTGTGTGCTTGGAGTAAGATTGTTGAAGGGCCTTATGGAGATTTGAGTTTGTTAGTGCTTTGTGTGTCTGGGTGAGTTCACCACCTGTACCGTTTTCTTGTAGGGTGTGCTGACCAGAGCACTCTGGAATCAATGAGCCCAAAGGACCGGAAACGGCAAGATTACATCCATGAGCTCATTGACACAGAGGAGAAATACGTAGAAGACCTACAGCTGGTCCTAGAGGTAGACGAACACTGATCTCTTATTTCATATTTAAGCATGAAGCGGGCAGTTTTAGCAAGTAGGGGTTGAGAAAATAAATTAAAATGCAATTTACTGTAAAAGTGCCAACAGTTTTAGTAGTGCAGCAATACCAGAAAGAGTAAACCAAAATTATCCAGAGCTATATTTGGTAAAAAATAAACGACTTTTGGTCACGTATTCCAATTTACTATTAGTATACTATGTAGCATATTATTAAAGGGAGGTCAGATATTAAAGTGCCAAAAAGAGCAGTTTGCTTTAAGTGCATGTTAACTTGTTGTACTACCACAAGGTAGGATCTTATATTATTTATTAAAAATGTAACTAAAAAAACCTATTTAACGTTTAATATATTTTTAATGAATTTATTTATTTATATTTTGTATATTTATCCAAGTAACTTTTTATTGTAAAACGAATTTGTTTTTATATTGTAATTTTTTTATATGTAACCTTATTGTACTCCCAAAAATGACCCATAAACATGTATTATTAATCCTCTTTAATATATACAGATTTGAAAAATAAAAGCAAGTTCATGGTTCTTCACAATGTCATGACCTTTTTGAAAGTTATGAGAAAAATCTTCGGCGAGGCAGTGGCGCAGTGGGTAGCACGTTCGCCTCACAGCAAGAAGGTCACTGGGTCGCTGGTTCGAACCTCAGCTCAGTTGGCGTTTCTGTGTGGAGTTTGCATGTTCTCCCTGCCTTCGCATGCTCCGGTTTCCCCTTCTACAGGTGAATTGGGTATGCTAAATTGTCTGTAGTGTATGAGAGTGTGTGTCAATGTGTGTGTGTGGATGTTTCCCAGAGATGGGTTGTGGCTGGAAGGGCATCCGCTGCGTAAAAACTTGCTGGATAAGTTGGCAGTTCATTCCGCTGTGGCGACCCTGGATTAATAAAGGGACTAAGCCGACAAGAAATGAGTAAAATCTTATGATATTGAAGCTCACAAAAAATCTTTTTTAATCTCATTTTTAATGATATAGATGTATAGGTCAGGTCTCTACACTACCTAACAAAAGTCTTGTTGTCGATCCCAGTTGTAAGAGCAACAAATAATACCTTGACTTCTGTTTGATCATTTGGAAAAGTGGCAGAAGGTAGATTTTTCTAAAGAATCATCTATTGAACTGCATCCCAATCATCAAAAATACAGCAGAAGACCTATTTAAACCCGCATGGACCCAAGATTATCACTGTAATCAGTCAAGTTTGGTGCAGCAAAAATCATGGTTTGGAGTTACATTCAGTATGAGGGCATGAAAAAGATCTGCAGAGTGGATGGCAACATCAACAGCCTGAGCCATCAAGACATTTGTGCTGCTCATTGCATTACAAACCACGGAAGAGGGCAAATTCTTCAGCAGCATAGAGCGCCCTCTCATACTTCAGCCTCCACATCAAAGTTCCTGAAAGCAAATAAGGTCAAGGTTCTCCAGGATTGGCCAGCCCAATCACCAGACAAGGAACATTATTGAGCATGTTTGGGGTAAGATGGAGGAAAAGGCATTGAAGATGAATCCAAATAATCTTGATGAACTCAGGAACTCCTGCTAGAACGCTGATTTAGACCAGACTTTTGTCAGGTAGTGTAAATAGATATATGAAATAGATTTTTAACAAGAGGTTGTTAATCTAATGTTTCTGCTTTTGTTGAACCCATCTGCATTAATTCGGCTTATTCTACCAATCAGTCAGAGAGCAAACGTTGTCAAGAGAGATGCTCCACTCCACTTACAGTACTGCCATGTAGCACTTTAAATAACTTTCTGTGTGTGTGTGTGTACAATGAAAACAAACACTTATTGAATACTGACTGACAAACATGAACAATTAAAAAAGGAGAAAGTATGCTTATAAAAATATTGTTAACTCTAACAAAATAGTGGTCATAAAAACAATTTATTTTTATGTAACTATTTTATGGGCTTGTGCTTGGTTTAAAGGGAAAAATAATTGGACTATTGATCATTTTTGTTAGCACCAGTCTACATAAACAAGTGTGAAGTAGTATTTGTAGTTTTTTTTCCTCATTAAACCTGCCAAGCCAAGTTCAGTTGTACATTTTATGTATTTCTGCGCTTCAAAGAAAGTTTCTTCTCATAGCCATGTTGCTTTTTTTTAAACTGCATCTTGGAAAATTTTAAATAGAAAACTATTTCTGGAAAGCACAGATTTATTTATTTTATTTTTTTAAATTGCATTTATAAAGAACATGATGATAATAAAATATATATTATCTTTCTTAAGGTCTTCTACAAGCCCATGTCTGAATCAAATCGTCTCTCTGAGGCTGAAATGAACATGATATTTGCCAACTGGAGAGAGCTTATTCAGTGCAGCTCCAAGATGCTCAAGTATGTGTGGTTCATTTGAAAATGTATATACTGTACATGGATACATCATTTTCTTTGGTGTGCAGTGTATTAATAAGTGTATATTGTTAGGGCCCTGAAGGCAAGGAAAAAGAGCGGAGGAGACAACATGCCAGTTCACATGATTGGCGATATCCTGACATCCGAGCTGTCAAACATGCAGGCCTACATCCGCTTCTGCAGCTGCCAGTTGGAGGGTGCTGCGCTGCTACAACAGAGAACTGATCAGGAGCCAGACTTCAAAACCTTCCTCAAGGTACAGAAGACTACTGTAGTTCACTTGCCGCTCTTAAAAAAAAAAGACAAAAGCCATATCTAAAAACAAATTGTAATCAACACTTTATTCGAGTTTTGGGTTTAGTAACAATGTTGCTCTCATTACTTCATATTTTTCAGAAAATTGCTACAGACTACCGTTGTAAAGGAATGCCTTTGTCCAGCTTTTTACTCAAACCTATGCAAAGGATCACCCGCTACCCTCTTCATATTAAACATGTAATGTTATATTTTCAATTTTTCTCCCTATATCTTTTGTTAAATATTACTAGTTAATGCATAAAATTAGGTGCATTCTTAACCAATACTTGTATGTCCAGATTTTAGAAAACACTCCAGAGAGCCATGTGGACTACATTCAGCTGACTGAGGCTTTGGAGAAGGCTGAGCTGCTGTGCTTTGAGGTGAATGAGGGTGTCAGGGAGAAGGAGAACTCAGACCGGTTGGAGTGGATTCAATCCCATGTGCAGTGTGAAGGCATTGCCGAGGTAACAAAATGCACCAGTGTGTAATTTGAATAGATTTCTGTAGCAAATATTCATTCATTCATTCATTTTCTTGTCGGCTTAGTCCCTTTATTAATCCGGGGTTGCCACAGTGGAATGAACCGCCAACTTATCCAGCACATTTTAATGCAGCGGATGCCCTTCCAGCCGCAACCCATCACTGGGAAACACATTCACACACACACACTCATACACGACTACGGACAATTTAGCCTACCCAATTCTGTAGCAAAGGAGCTGATGATACTCAAAACATGCATTTATAAGTCACTTATGAAACAATTGCCCATGATTTAGATTCTCCACATTGTCCTGTTTTTTCAATTGTTTTTTTAGGAGATTTGGGGGGAAATATCTAACCTTTTGGGAGGCCTGAATGAGTTAGTGACATTGTATTGATTCAGTATTTAAGATAGAGGTCACAGATTTGAGAAACAACCTTTTCTTGCTGTAGTTCATCCCTGCTGTTGGAGGGTTTTAGTCAGTATAGGATAGCTCAAGCCAGAGAAAACTGGTTAAATATGGTTTGGTAAAAAAATAATTTAAGAAATTGACCCACATCGCTTATCAATGGTCTGACTGTGTCCCAATGGTCTTCTGTGGCTTGGTGTGTCAGAATCTTAAAGGAAATTTTCACCCAAAAATGAAAATTCTCTCATCTACTCGCCCTCTGCCTTTTCCTAACTTCTATTAGTTTTTTCTTCTGTTAAACGCAAATGAATATAATTTGAAGACAGTTGTCTATAACTACTGATTTCCTGGGTTCTCCTTCTATTGTATTTAAGACAGTAGTTACTATCCACTTTTGTTACCAACAATCTGTAAAATATTTTCTTTTGTGCTCAACTAAAGAAAAGCACCAATATCAACTTAAGCCCCATTTAAATGCCAATTGATTTTCATTAGGGATGACTGTATGGGAAAAATCTCTATCTAAAAAAACTACACTCCTCAGTTATTAGGCTTCTGTTGTGATGGATGGATGGATAGATGGATGGATGGATGGATGGATGGATGGATGGATGGATGGATGGATGGATGGATGGATAAATAGATAGATAGATAGATAGATAGATAGATAGATAGATAGATAGATAGATAGATAGATAGATAGATAGATAGATAGATAGATAGATAGATAGATAGATAGATAGATAGATAGATAGATAGATAGATAGTGTATGTATGCATATATACATGCTTTCAGATGAAGATGCATTTGCAATTGACATCTGAGAGTGTAATCCTACAAACCCTGAAATACGTGTCTCGCATGCTCAGTCAGATCCTGTGAATATAGCCTGTAAGATCCATTTTCATGCAGAGTTTAGCACTGGCATTGATCATACTTCCGATTTACATGGGCGTTGGCATCATTGCTGACATCATTATCAACAGTCAATTATCATTATCATGACAACAGTCAATTATATTGGTATACGACGCATATCAGCGTCCTTAAAGCATTTACAAAACATCTTTTTAATTGATCCCCAACTACCTTTTGTAAATGGTGAAAATCTGAGAAACAAGGTGTAAATAGGGCTTTAGACAAAACTTGGAAATGGTGAGAAAATATTTTTTGGGGGTGAACTGAAACTTGGGGTGAACTTCTGTTATTTCACTTGTCTAGAATCTGATCTTCAACTCCATGACCAACTGCCTGGGTCCTCGTAAACTGCTGCACAGTGGAAAGGTCTTTAAGATGAAGAGCAATAAAGAGTTACACGCTTTTCTGTTCAGCGACTTTCTGCTGTTCACCCAAGCTGTCAGACAGTTCACTTCTTCAGGAACAGACAAACTCTTCAGTCCGAAGTCCAATACACAGTACAAGATGTACAAGACTGTAAGGGTCCCACTCCTCTTTATAAAGAAGTATTCTTATTACTAGCTAATTGACATTTGGAATAATGATATGTTTGTGTTCCCAGCCTGTCTTTCTGAATGAAGTTTTAGTGAAGCTTCCATCAGACCCATCCAGCGACGAGCCTGTCTTTCACATTTCCCATATAGACCGTGTCTACACATTGAAGACCGAGAACATTAACGAGAGGTCAGTTTCAGCCACAGCTCCATTTATCAGCCTTATCAGCAAGCCTCTGTTTACTGGACACATGGGACATTTTATGAACCGGTAATGGAATGTTGTTATCGCCACATTGTGTGGGATGTGGATAAAAAAACAACAGCAGCCGCTTATCATGCTGCTGGAATGCCACGACTAGTGTAAAGGACAGAATTTCAATGCAAATTCGTGTTTTTCATTCAGTTCATCAAACTATACCTATTTAATTTTTATTATCTAGTGAAATGTTTAACATCTGCCTGATATCCCGCTAGGACTGCATGGGTTCAGAAGATCAAAGTAGCATCAGAAGGTTTCATTGAGACTGAGAAGAAGAAACACGAAAAGGCATATCAGTGTAAGTTTTATTTTTGGCCTATTAAAAGTGATGATTTAATAATTTCTTAGACAACAACCCAAAAATTTGGTCTTAATAATTTTATTTATTAATTTTTTTGGAAATAAAGTAATACTTTGATTCAGAAGGTAATTTAATTTGTATTATTATACAAATGTAAATATGTATATGTCTAAATAAAATAGGAACTTGATAAAACTTAAAAGTTTTTGTGTTATTGAAAATATTTATATATATATAAATTTTAAATTAATAAAACCATCACAGTAATCAGAGAAATACTCACAGCATTTGTTTTTTAACATTGATAATAATAATTAAGCATGTTAGAATTATTTCTGAAGGATTTTGTTGCTCTAAAGACATGAGTAAGAGTAGAAATTCAGCTATAAATAATAATAATAATAATAATAATAAAACAATATTTGAAAATATAAATATATTTTACAATAAAACTTACCATTCATTCAACTCAACATTTTACTGAGCCACATTTTAAGGAGTGTGTTTTATGCTCTAAGATGTCAGTATTAATAATACAGCAGGTTGGAAAATTTTTATGTATTTATTATCTTTTTAATTTTATTTACATATTTTACAGCTCGATCAATGAAGGGAAGTGGCATTGGTCGCCTGCTTGTCACCATCTTAGAAGCAACTGAGCTAAAATCCTCCAAACCAAATGGTGAGTGGTTTCATTTGAAAACATGATTAATACTTTTTTAAAAATCTGTTTTCAATCTACATTTACTATTGATAAATTACATAACTGCTTTTGCACTTTTTTTCTATCATTATTTTATTTAGGAAAGAGTAATCCATACTGTGAAGTGACCATGGGCTCTCAGTGTTACACTTCCCGAACCATCAATGACACTGTCAACCCCAAGTGGAACTTCAACTGTCAGTTTCACATTAAAGACCTGTATCAAGATGTCCTCTGCATTACGATTAACAAGAAAGAGCTGTTTTCACCTGATGGTTAGTATGAAATAACGTGTATGATACTATTTCTAAACCAGACCGAAACAAATTGTGCTGAATTGTATATAAAAAAATGTATCCTTTAAAAGGGTGGTCCACTACGATATCATGCCTAAACTTTAGTTGATGTGTAATGTAGCTGTGTGAACATAAACAACATCTCTAAATCTCTAATGTTAGTTTGCCAATGGGGAATGAAAAAGCTCCACTACTCAATATTTTCTTTTAGTCTGAAGTTCATCCACATACTGAAATAAAATTCTCAGAATCTTCTGGTTATTGCTGACTTAAAAATGGATGTGATTTAGGTCATTTGCATTACAACAGCCAGTTGGGTGGAGTGTGGATTGGGGAAGGGCATGTACATGCAAACAAAATCGGTTTCAAAGTGCAAATTTTTTTACGCTATGCTGTTAGTATCTTCATGTAAACTACAAAAGCATTTATTAAAAGCTGACTTTTTTATTGTGAATTGATATGCATTGACATTTATATTCACTTTTCAAAAATCCAATACAAAAATGACATTGTTGTATTGTTGATGTAAACATACCCTTATTCAGTCATAAATTAAGCTCTCTATAGATTTCATAGTATTTCCTAAACTTCCTAAATTTCTCTTTCTCCCTGTACAGCCTTCTTAGGTCGCACTGAGGTTCCTGTAGCCACTATTAAGAAAGAGCTTGAGAATAAAGGTCCGTCCACAAGGAGGCTGCTGCTTCATGAAGTGCCCACGGGAGAGGTTTGGGTTCGGCTTGACCTGCAGCTGTTTGACCACAAAACTCCCAAATGATGATGGAGGATGTCTCTTCAAAGCTGCTCTTCAAGCACAGTGTCTCACCACTAACTCTCAACATCTTCAAGACTGACCTTTGCCTTACAATGTCCTCTACTAATGAGGAACATACTAATGAATGTGTTTGTGTTCACAACTTTGCCAAGTTATGTTTCTTGATCAAGCAACATGGGAACGAAAAGGGAGAATTAGGGATTTTTAGTTTTATTGCCTAAAAAATAATTTTTCCACTGGATGTAGAGATATTCTCAGGACCTATATTTTGCTTCAAATATACTGTCTTTTATTAATGTACTTAAAGCTATATTTGTTATACTCGTAATTTGCCTAGATCTGAAGTTGATGAGAACCCCTTTTTTGAACTTGAATATTTTCATCAGTAACACTAAACCAGGTGGTGTTGTTTTAATTCATTATCTGTCTGCCTTAACTGCCAGTTCTTCCATTAAAATTCACCCTAACAGAATTAATTTGCACCAGTCAGTGGATCCTCCGTAAAACCTAATAACATTCTGTTAAATGTAACGTGGAAGGAACTTATTTTTGCAAAGCTTACTAGTTTTATTTACTAAGGTACAAATGAGGTGATTAACCAGGGATTATTGGTTACAGGTCTAATCACTGTTGATTTTGTTTGCTTGACTGAGTTTTATTTATGTTAATTTATGCGTCTTGGACTATCTGCACATTTTACGCTGCCCAATATATCTGCAATGCCTTTAAGCATTCAGGTAAGGTCCTAATATTATATATTTTTGCTGAGTTGGATAGTCTGAGCAGTGACGCAAGTCACAGTTGTTGTTTTTGAAGGTTTTACTCATTTTAGTTTTAAATGTAATAAATTTTGGATTATTCTTATTTTTCCTTGCTCTACTCTTGCTACTTAGTCCTTGATTTTTAGCCAAGTATTTGTTTTGGAGAAAGATGGTTTAATGTTGTTTGGTAAGCCAAGCACAAATATGCAACAAGCATCAGGTTTCACATGCAAATAAATACATTTAAAACGTTATCAGTGTTGATTGTCTTCACTACAAACGAAGCAGTAAAGTAATTTTAAGACGACTGACGCGTTTACGATGAGGTAGAACCAATGACTATAAAATCAGGTTAAACCTTCTGGCTTTTCGGGTTTGGCAGTTGTTAGGGCAACACAAGTAAACCACCTGACGACTGTGAAAGAGTGAGACGCTGGGAGACGCAACATTGGAGCAGTTTTGAGCGTATTTGTGGTATAGAAACTAATCATGAATCCATTACCGAAGTTATTAGAAGACTGCCTCATTTCCACGAAACATGTAGAGCGTGCGGCGGTATTCGTGGCTAAAACTTGCGACATAACGGCCGCGTCCAACTTTACAGTAAGTTAACGTTACATTTCTTCGCGTTCATAACCTTCTAAATAATAGAAGTTTCATTGATAGTATTAAAACAGGCATGTTAATTTAGGTGACTCGGTATAATCTCTTCAAACAGGTATGTCTTGAAGAAATACAAATATTTCTCGACGCTTTCAAACATCTAAATGAAACGATGAAGAAAGGACTGATCTTCAGGGACAAACCCTACACCTGTGTGCGTGCTGACAAACACTCCATATACGCCAAAAACGTAAGTAAAACACTTGTCAAAGTCATCTAGATGTCGACAAAGAATCTGCTTGAATTATCTAATCAGCCAATTACGGAGGAAGCTCAATGCATTAAAGGAAAAGGGATCATTTACCCGCAAATGTCAGTTCTGTCATCATTTACTCACCCAATACTTGTTTCAAACATTTATACGTTTCTAATGTTGAACACAAAAGAAGATATTTTGTTGAATGCTGAAAACCTGTAACTGATTAACTTCTATAGTAGCTGTTTAATTACTGTGGAAGTCAATTGTTACAGGATTTAAGTTTTCATCTCATAAAGAAACTCACCATAAAGTGGAATCACTTGAGGGTGAGTAAATAAATGTGTACATTTTCATTTTTAGGTGAACTACTGTATGTCTCTTTAAGGCTGAGCAACTGCATGGAATAGTTGATGGTGTCAAATGGGTAGAGATTGTCTGAATATTTCAGAAACTACAACTGGCTGACAGTTGAGTTCTGTGTGCTAAAATGCCAGACTTGTTCAAGCTGATAGAAAGGCAAGAGTAAATCAAATACCTACTAATTACAAAGAGAAGTCTGCAGAAGTGCAGCTCTGAACAAACACATTGAGCCTTGAAGTAGATAAACTACAACATCATCTGCAGACAGAGGCTTCAATTAACACAGACTTACCAAGATTAAATGATAGCAGATATAAAAAAAAAAAAAAAAAAGATTGGCTGGCCTGATTAGTCTCCATTTGTACTGCAACATTCAGATGAAATGGTCAGGATTTGCATAAACAACATGGAAACATTTGACTCATCTTTCCTTGTATCCTATGGTTCACACAGGTGGTTGTGTAATAGAGTGGGACATATTTGTTTGCCACACAATTGAACGTTGTTTAAATGCCTCAACCTACCTTAGAATTTTAGCTGACAATGTGCATCACTTTACGACCATACAAACATCCTGTTGTAGATGTTCCGGTGTCCTGACATTTTATCTTACCCATCAGATTATGCTACCAACACTGTATTTGAATGAGTCTGAGGTTGGGGTTAGGGATTAGGTAGTTTAGGGTGATATTACAGCTTCATATCACTCCACATAAAAATTTACACTGGTAACAAAATCTGATGGGTAGCATATTGCGTCATCAAAATGTGCTACCTACTTTTTGAATGGTAGGTAGGACAATCTGACAACAAAGTAGGACAAGTTGACAAAACACCAGCACTTTGTTGAATATATGCACCCCCACCCCCGGTTACGCTTTTTTATAGTAAGTATAATATAAAGACAAAATGGCATATTAGATTTATTTTTATCAGTTTAAAAAGATGCAATATTAGTTATGCCAACATTTCAGCCTTTCAGTTACATCTTCAGTTACATTATTATTACCACAACAATAATAATAATAATAATAATAATACATTTTATTTATAATGCTCTTTTCTCAGAACCAAAGCGCTTACAACAGGGGTGCCCAAACTTCTGGGGTCCTAGTGGGCCGGTGTCCTGCACAGTTTAGCTCCAACTTCCTTCAACACACCTGCCTGGAAGTTTTTGTATACCTAGAAAGAGCTTGGTTAGCTGGTTCAGGTGTGTTTAGGACAGAGAACCGAGTTTGGGAACCCCTGGCTTACAACATCAGTTACATTATTTTTTGACCAGAATCATTGTGAAACGTAAAAATGTGTTAAATTAAATAAAAAAATCAACATGTCAGACAAAAAAATGTGCACTTTACCAATGAAGATGAATTTTATCAGTATGATTACTTTTTATCTCTAAGATCATCAAATCAGACTTCTTTCACTGATTATTTTCTTTGTTAGGAAGGACGTGGCCTGATACTGGTGAGAACTGCACTGTATGTGATTGTTGCCACGTACTCACAAAGCATGCATCCAAGTATCTGTGTGGAAGCAGTTGAAAAACTAGGTAAGCTACAACAGGTTCTGTGTACAGCTAGAGTTTCAAAGCCAATGATAAACATCCGGTGAAAGCTTAATGTGACTATTTAATTTCACAAGCTTGTTTTAACAGCATCGATGTTGTGATGTAATTACAATGCATTCAGTTGAATAGACTTAAGCATTCAGTTATTCAAGCATAAAACAAGATGAAAGGCCATTAGCGCCATTAGAAGCAACAGGCCAGTGCAGAAATTCCATTGAAAATACTGGAATAAAATAAACTCATATTTTAAAGACATGACGGGAGAAATGGAATTTAATGCAGTTCTGCTTACCCGATCTGAGACCCACTTCATATCGTATATCTAATAGGCAGTGAAGATCGCTGATTTTTAAAGAAATGTGACAATTTTGTAATGGAAAAGCAGTTCACCGGAAGCCATTGGGCTGCCTGGTTGAAAATGAAAACTCCTTGTGCATATACAGGAGCCCATTTTAGAATCATTTCAATTTTCTGCACAGATGTAACTTATTAAAAACAAATTTCTCCATGAATTTTAGGTGATTATCTGCGTGAAAAGGGAAAATGAAGCACATCGTATCAAAGGAGAAGAGGATCTTCTGTGTGATTGTTTTACGATTGATGAGAAACTGTGAAATGTCTCTGCTTAGATATACTGGAACCAAAAGGTAGGTTGTTTCAGTACCGCTCAGACAAACAAGAAAGCAAGTTTTAGATTCATGTAATGGGATTTTAATTTACATACTGAGATTTGGCATCTTAAAATATACACGCAACAGTAGTTTTTACATCTCAATGCTTAACAGAATGACACATCAACTCAACTGCCACAACTTAGGCAACAAGATCTTTCACAGAAAGAATATAAAACTCCATGGAGACTGCAAACAGAACAAAGCTAATGTAACTTTAAGTTATGGACGTTATGAACAAGACATGTTACATGGATTTAGTACCACAGTCTTTATATTATTCCACTTTTTTGTTCAGAATAAGAAATCTTTGTTAAGTACAGAGAGAGCAGAAACATTCTATCATGTTTTGACCTGATCATTCACAGTTTGTAAGTTTGTAGCAGTCATCTGTCACATACAATAAGTCTTTATCGCCAAACTGAACCAATTAGAGATTAGTAAAAATTGCATTTTCATGTTGCACACATCTGTGTCATACACTATTTTTAATTTGCAAAACAATAACACATGAATTGCCATAAAATATACACAGTTCTTTCAAATCAGTCTCTAAAGCCTCTTTATCATTCATGCATCATGTCAGTGCTTTTTAATGTGCTCCTTGATAAACGGGTGAATATACTTTTCCTTGTTAAATACAAGGTGGAGCAACTACACAAATGTTGTCCATTTACATATTACACATAATCCTTGTTCATTCACTATAGACATATATTTCATTATACACTGCTTTCATAACTCGCAATCCAGCTCATCCTTTAATAAGACAAACAATATGCACCATTGGGTAGAGGTGTTGGTAGAACTCAGATCACTCAAATGAACTTAAGATAATATAATGCACCATGAATTGAGGTTTTATATTCTTAAATCCTGAAATAAAGCTAAAATCACTAGACAAAAATGGTTTTATGCATGAAAATGTTTATGGCGTAATAAATATTATATGACGGTATTATGAAGGAATTAATACAGGTAGGAAATACTTGATGACCTGAGTGTTCTTTGCATTGTTGTTTGCTTTTGTTTAGCATGCTGATGAGTATGATAAATAACATTAATTTCTGAATGATTTGTATCTGCTGTTCATATCATGTACTTTACATTATATACACAAATAATAATAAGGAATGCAAATAATAATATATAAGTCGTACATAGTTGTCCAGATTACATAATTCAGTAATATTCTGCTTCATTTGTTCTTAGGTAAATGGAGAAGTAAAATAATTAGTAAAAAAAAAAAATTATGGAAGTTGACTTAGGTTGCAAATGACTACCTGTATAAATTTTAAAACACCTGAGATTTTCTACAGCTTGATTTATACCTAGATCTGAGTCCTATTGTTATAATTTTTTAATTCCAGGGAACTTTTTTTTTTGATAATTGCTCAGCAAACGTTGTTATAGTATGTACTAAAATAATTATCTTCCCTCATTTATCAACCTTGGACAAAACCAATAGACATTTCTAAAAGCATAATGTAATTACCTTGTGATTTATGAGTAATGCATTTGGCACTTGAAATAACTGTACCATAAACAAACAAAACAAATCCCTAATATGAGTTCCATAATACTCAACATACAGAACACACACAGAAATCATAAATGCATGTTAAAAGAATAAGATAATATAGAAAGAACAGGCAGAGGGCGACATGCGGTCTGCAAAGTGCTTGGTTGCTTGTGCGTACAGTAATACCTATGGCAGTGCAGCGTTAGTGCTGAGATTTAGCTGATGTTGGCTTTTGTTAGTTTGTCCTCTCAAGCCTGTTGATCCTGCTTTTCTACTTCTGGTAACTGTTCTCTCCAGAAGGTGAACTGGCTGAATGTGTCTGAACAGGGGAAGTCGGTGGTGTTCCCTCTGATCAGAAGAGGAAAGACATGATCCACAACCTCACACAGACGACCATAACTGTAAAACACACAAGAATATTATGATCTAATGCCAGACGGTCCAACTCCCAATTATTAGATGCTTGATTCAGTTAGAATCCAGTGCTTTCCTTAGGTTTGAAATCTACTTGCGGTGGTAGCCGGATTGAAACACACCACAATTTTATTTATTATTACTTTTAAGTTCAAAGCAGACTTGAATGCCAAAACATTTTAAATATAAATAGCCTATGTAATATAACCTAATGACAACAAAAAATGGGAAATAAATGACAGAAAAAAGGAATTACAGGCAATATCTCTAAAAAATATAACAATAAAAAAATTTAATTGTGTAGATTATTAAAATAAGGCAAATGCATTGATTAACCTTTACTAATGGTGTACATTTATTTTGCAGCCAGTTTAGACCAGTCATTTCATCCTCTCCGAGTATATAGTAAAGTTTTTCTGAATCTTTTAGATTCAAGAATGAATTATTGAATGTTTCTCTCGCTCTTGTGTCTGTGCGTGTGCAGTTAGCTGCAAAGCCAAGCGAAAGTAGGCTTAAGTAAAAAGGTAATGCAAAAACACTTATGATTAATGAACAACTTTAAAACCAAAAGCCGAATCCAAGACATTTTAGAAAATTTAATTGATGATAATAATAATAATTTTTAATAATAATAGTAAAAAAAATGTGTCACTAAATATACTTGGGCGGCTGGTAATATACCCGGCCAGCTCACCCAAGTAAAGTCTATAAGTGGGAAGCACTGGAATCACAGGCCTTGTTTACACTTGGTATTAAAATGTTTTTGCTGATTCAATCCCAAGTGGACAACAGTACAAGTTTAAAGGAGGCGTGAAATGTTAATCCCTGCCCTCTGAAATTATATGTTTGATTTGAAGCTGAATAAAAAATCTAGTCATCCAAAATGCATCTTTATACTATATTTAAATAAAACTGAATAGATAATAGTGCAAATTGCAAAAGCATTTCAATATAAGAAGAATTTGAAAGGGCAAGTCAGCTTTATTATCATAAAAGTAAAGAATATTTTTCTGCTTTTAGTTTTGTTCAGTAATATAAATAACAAAAACCCAAAGTGAGACATCTGGACGTTTTTTTTTTAGGGAAAATGTTTAAAAACCTTATTGTCATAAAATCAATCACATAATGCAAAAAATAAAAAAGGCTTATGGTTAATATTGTCAGGTTTTCTTTCCTTTAAATTGTTGCCAGTTGGTGGAAATGACAAAATGTCTGGATAAATTCAAATCAATAATTGAAATGAAAATTGTGCTTAATTATCATCAAACTAAATAAACCATTATTCCTAAATCTGTGTAAGTTTTAACTTTTTTTTTTTTTTTTTATTACTTACGATGATATGTTGGTCTTTGCATGTTCTTGAATGAGCTCTCCCTTAGGATTCACAGTGAATATTCTGTTCAAAGGCACTCCCACTTCTTTATATGAATAAACATCCTGGAGAGAAGAACATTCCTTTGAGATATGCATATGTAAGATTAAGATTAGTTAGCAATTACTGCTACTAGTACGTACTGTTGCCCTGTTTCCAAAAGCAGCATAGAAGGGTTCTGCGTTTGGATAGAACAAGTTTTTAATGTCAGTCAGACATTCGATTTTGAACTTTTCTGGCTTCTTCTCAATGACCTCCCTAGGAAAACAAAAAACAAAAAAACAGTTATTATATTACATCCATACATAGTTTTTAAGACCTACACACATTTTGTATGCATTCCAACCTGTGAAATGCAGAGAATAGACTGCTAGGACTAAGCAGCACAGGTCCCATTGGTAGCATAGTGCCTCTTTCATTAACCCAGTGCAGGTAACCTCGGGTCATATCAGCCATGCCAATCGCCCGAGCTGAACAGTACATAAACTTGTAGCCGTTCCTGTTTGAGAAGAAGTTTTAGATATATCAGATTTTTTTTTAAATGGCCCAGACATCCTTCTGCACACATTTGTCTGATGTGACATGCTCTACTTACTGGCTTACTCGGTGATAAAGTCTGGCAATGCCCTGATGTGTCCAGTCTTTTCCCAGAGTTGGTAAAATGTGTCCCAGGGTGTCAGACCTGATAGAGATTTTGCAGTTTACACTGGGTACTTTTATTTTTGCATTTGTCAAGCCAAGTGTACCCTATCGCCACAGACATTTGTCTTGAATAGTCTCACCTTGTGATGGTGCCATCAATATCTGAAATCACTATTTTGTCATCCCAGTTCCACAAATAAATGGTGCCCTCACAACGGCAGGTGCCTTGGTACTGGGTGGTGACGCTGAAAACCACATCATTGGGGCCATCTTTTAAGTTCAGACTGGCCTGAGAAACGAAAAGCAAACTTTTAGCCTGGGTTTGCTCCACCATTTTTTATTGGCTTTAAATGCTTTATGAAAAATGGACATGCTCACTAGCTGTTCTGGGGACAAACGAAGTGTCTTTCTGTAGCAGTGGCCTCCAGAGCTATGGAGAACTTCAGGCTGATTCATCACAGCAATCTGTTTAGCACCCCCACTGTCATCTTCACTGGATGAGGATTCATCCTTTAATCTGATAAAAAATTGTATCCCCAGTTAGTCCATCTCATACTCCATGTACCTGCATTTTTAATACTGAAAAATGCCTTTTTTTGTCATCTTCTGAACCTCAGCGTAGTTAACCCAGACTGATGTGTTAGAGCAATGGTTCCAAAACCTTTTTTTCTAGGGGACCTATATTTTAGCATTAAAATGACCCTTCTCTCCATTAAAAAAACAGACAAGAATTTAAAAATCTGCATAAAAACTGCATAAAGATTTAAATAATAAGAATAACAATGATGATCAGATTTTAAAAGGGAAAAAAAATTTAAATGGTTGACTCACAAACTTGATCTACTAAGATTACTGGTAACACTTTAGAATAATGATTCGTTAGTTTAATGTATTTACTAAAATTAATTATGAATATTCTTGTAAAGAATTTAATAATCATAGTTCAACATTTACTAATTTTTTAAAATCAAAGTTGTGCTTATTAACATTAATGCAGTGACTGAACAAACATTATTTAACTTAAATAACATATCAAATATAAAAAAAATACCATAGTAAATGTGTTACTAATTGTTTGTTCATGTTAGTAAATACATTAACGTTAAAACATTTTAAAGTTACCGATGTACTATGTTCTAAACTAAAGGCTTAGGAAATTATCACTTTTAATGTATCACTTTTAATGCAAGAGACCTCAATCCATGACCTGTGACTTAATTCCAAATTCATCATCAGATTTTACATGCAAGTTTGTAAATGTATAAAAGTAATGAAGCATAATTAGTGAATGGAACCTAATTTCCTGCTTCCTTAATGTGTGATAAATTAGGTTAATCGTTTACCTGCTGACAGATCCTGTTCTTATTGACTCATCTCCACATTCAATCTGGTCTGCTGCTGATTCCTGTATCAGTAGCAATAACAGAAATTCAGCTACCAGCAAACAAGTCTTAAATAAATTCACTATGTATTATATGCAGTTATACCGATTTGGAGCTGCTGTTTCTTCCGCGCCACGAGAACCACCAGCGTCCTCCTTTCTTGGGCATCTTCTCCTTCATGATGTTCTCTACTGTGGCCTGGAGCAAACGCAGAGAGTCCCTGATACTCAAAACTCAAAACTAAATGACAGGATGACTGTGACTGAACACACATGCAGCTAAAAAAAAAATAAATCAACACAAATTCAAATTGACGTACAGGACTAGAGCCGAACACGCTAGGAAAACAATATGTGAAGAAACCAAGAGCAGAGTAGACATAACTCATACAGGAATACTTAGCGCAGTGGTGCACAATGGGATGGGATGAGGGGAGATCAATTTAAACAAAAAAAGAAAGAAGAAAAACAAGGAGGAGGAAAGAGACAAATTTAAATGCCCTGGAGTGCCATGAGAGCCGGGGTGCAATATACACAAGGACTTTAAAAAGCCATGAAACACTCGCTGGGAGAAGACAAACAATGCAGAAAAGCAAAAGCATCTTCAAAAGAGTTCACATATTTAAACTATGCTACTCATTTAAACAATCCTATAAACTATAAAATACTGACTGTGCATTAACCATGCAGAGCTTTGTAAATAATTATAAATATTCTAAACTGAGACATCTAGTGAAGTGAAGTATTGTTTACATTTGTTTACAAAAATGAACTATTGCCTTTGTTGCAATCCACCAACAGGGGGCCCTATTAATTAAGTTTTTATTTAAATTTTTATTTACTATTTTGTATTTATTTACTTTTTACGACTATTTATAAGCGGGTAGTCTGTTTTTAGTCCTAATATTAAATCTTAAGTAAAATTGTTTATTCAAACATATTTTTAATTGTATCATTTCATTTAGTTTTGACTATATTTTAAATATTTAAAAAAATTAATTGTATTATATTACCATATTTATATTAGATATGCTTTGTTAGAAATTGCTGATAGCTCACCTAATATGAAAGCTGTACAGATGCAGTTTAATGTGTCAATGACTGAGGCTGCGTACGAAATTGTTGCGTCCATACTATTTAGTATGCTAAACACTGTATGCAGGCCGAGTATTATGTCTTAACTTATAGAATTTGAAAAACAGTATGTGAGAAGTGCCTGATGACCTACTTTTTCCAGCGAGATTCTAAAGTGTGCATCTGACGCACGCTACACTAACCCATGATGCAATGTGAAAGAATTCATGAAAGTGATGCAACTGACACGGGTAGGTCACGTGATCATGTCTGAGTTCCATTCATACTGTATAGAACGTACTTTTCTAACGGCTGAGTAGTAGATTTAAATTCAGATACCTACTAAGACAGGGGTCACCAAACTTGTTCCTGGAGGGCCAGTGTCCTGCAGATTTTAGCTCCAACCCTAATCAAAAACACCTGAACAAGCTAATCAAGGTCCCACTTGGCATACTTGCAACACCCAGACAGGTGTGTTGAAGCAAGTTGGAGTTAAACCCTGCAGGGACACCGGCCCTCCATGACAGAGACTGGTGACCCCTGTACTAAGAAGTAGGCAATTTCGGATGCAGCCTGAGCTGTGTACGATGCCAAATATCATTTACAGGTGGGACGAAATTTAAGTGACCTACATACAGTGCGCGTACATCACTGAGCAACAATATTTAAGTATGACTTTAACCACTTGACTAGATCTAAAATATGTTAATTATTTTTTGCTTCTTACACCTTCACTATTCCTTCGCTACTATATATTTTATTTTTATGTCAGAACATTTTTATTAGTATTATTTGTATCTTTTGAGTATTGCCTCTTTATGATGAGTCACTTTTCTCATTTGAAAGTGGCTTTGAACTGAATTTATCTGCTAAATGTCTAAATGTTAATATCGTCAATGCTGGTTAAATGCCTTATTGACCTTTATGTATGTGTGTGTGTGTTTTTTTTTTTTTGTAGTCCTTACCGTTGGCAAGGGCTTCTGAAAAACCTGCATTGCCAGTACAATAGGAGCGGCTGTGGTCCAGTTGTAATACCTGGAACAGAAATAATTGAAAAACGTATTAAATAAATAAATGGCTTGATTTTAAAGTTGGCAGTATTTTAACAGATTTTTAATGAATGCGATTATGTGATATGTTTTGAAGATTCACGACATACTTAGTTCCAATCTTTACAACCAAGTTGGGATCATCAATGATAGCGGGATTATCTGCAAACTCCTGATAAGATATTGCACGTTCCTCAAATTCCTCTGTGAAAGAAAGAATGTGCAGAGTTTAATAGCTTAATTACTCTCCAATTAATGACATCAAGAGTAAAAGCAGGATGTTAAAGGGGGTCACACACTGGATGCGCCACTCAGCGCCACGAAACGGCATGCACGTGACAGTTGAAAGTATTGCACATCAGACGCACAGATTCACATGCTATTTAAAATGAAACTATTCAGATGGCGGAAACGCAGTGGGTAGCACGTTTGCCTCATAGCAAGAAGGTCGCTGGGTCGAGCCTCGGCTCAGTTGGCGTTTCTGTGTGGAGTTTGCATGTTTTCCCTGTGTTCGCGTGGGTTTCCTCCGGGTGCTCCGGTTTCCCCCACAGTCCAAAGACATGCGGTACAGGTGAATTAGGTAGGCTTAATTCTCTATAGTGTGTGTGTGTGTGTGTGTGTGTGTGTGTGTGGATGTTTCCCAGAGATGGGTTGTGGCTGGAAGGACATCCACTGTGTAAAAACTTGCTGGATAAGTTGGCGGTTCATTCCGCTGTGGCGACCCCGGATTAATAAGGGGACTAAGCCGACAAGAAAATGAATATATGATTCAGATGGCACTCTGTGCCACGGCAGAAATATGAACAGTGTCCTGAGTCGTGGCTGGGCGCCACGGACAGCTGCCGACTTGCGGCGCCGATGTGTGTACCCTGATAGAAATCTATGTTTAGAATTCTAAAATGCACACGGCTCGTCCGGTGTGTGAACCCCTTCATTCAGAACAGCTGCTGAAAATACATTTTTACTGTTTAAAAGTTTGGGGTTATTATTTTAAAATAATTAATGTTTTTATTCAGCAAGATTTCATTCAGTTGATTTAAAGTTGACAGTACTGCCATTTTAAAATATAACATTAAAATAGAAAATGTTTAAAGTAATAAACAGTACTAAAACTATTATGTTAGTTAGTATGTTAGTCATGACTTTACCTCTAGTGATCTCTCTGTTTTCTGACAGACCTCCGCATAGAGAGATCGCAATGTGAGGCAAGTCTCCTAACTGGTCAGAAAAGCTTTCCACCCCACTGTCCATTCCACTACTGCCCACTGACTGAGGAGACTGATTAGCACTTCTAGAATCTGCTCCACTCCTCAAAGATGTTGCTCCATCACTGATCAACAGAAATACATTTCACATTTAAATATTATTTAAAACTGGGTTTTTAATATTTCAGATGCTACAGAACCCCGAATATGATCATCTTCAAATGAAGTGCCCCAATTCTAACACAAAGCATTTTTCATACTATGGAAGTCGACTGCTTGTTTACTAGCATTTGTCATAATATCTTCGTTGTAAAACCTTATATTTAAAACAAACTGAGGGTGAGTAAAATCTAATTTTGAAGTGAAACTAGTATCCCTTAAATCTAATATTTATTTATTTATTCTCCCAAAGTTTTGGACAATTTCTGTGAAACTATTTTAATATTATTTTTATTTTTATTAATTATTAATAAAAAAATTTAAGATTCTTAGATTTTATTAATCCCACTGTATTTATTCTAAAATGTTTAAATGTGTTTTAAATTTACTTGTTAAAACCTAATCATATTCTTCTACAAACATTGTCATAGACCCGTAATCGCTCTTGATTTTAAAATATTTACAATATGCTTGGATCATAAATAAGCAAGTGACTAAATGGATGTAGACCATTTTGAGGGATGTAAACAAAAACAATGGTCCCAACATATTTCCTGTTTTACAATTTTAATTTCTATAGCTTCCTAGAATCTAAAAAGAGCCACAAATTGATAAATAATGTTATGATAGCTGTTTTGTACTGTTATAAATGAATTGCTATGAAATAGTTTGATAATAAGCAGGAAATGTTCATAGGCCAATGACATGATCACATTGAAATGGTCTATACTGTAGTTAACCTCTTAAATCAATAAAAAAGATTTGTTTTTTTATCAGTTTAAATGATATCAGCATAAATGTACCTTTTTGGAAAGTACAAGGCCGCCACCTCAGGCTCCAACTCTGTGATGTCATCCAGATATACTCCATCTGATCCCAGGTGTGGGCTTCTCTTGTCTTGAAATTGATCCAGAGTAACATTTATAAGTTTCAAACAGTCAAAAAAGTGAGCCAATGTTCATACTCCATATCAAGCCCTTTATATACAGTACCTTTTCTTTTGGATGGAGAGTCCGTCTTGCTAATGGCATGAGCTCCAGGACTGTGACGGCCGTCCTCGAGTTCTGTGATCAGATGAGCGACTACACTTATGGGCTCCACTTCTTCAACCGGGGTAGATGTTGCCTCTTCAGTTCTGATATCAGGCACATACATAACACTGCCCCGAGACTCCACCATCCCATCCCCAGTGATGGCTCTGAAGTGCGTGCTTTCAGATCGCGGTATTGACTTTGGGGTGACCACCATGGGCTCTGGTAGCGGCTGCCGGAATGAAGGCTGTAGAAGAAGATACACATTGGTTTAACTCTTTCAGATTTGCATTTTTTGTGGTCCAGTGACATAGCTGGTGATTGCTATACCTTAGCAGCGTGAGGCAGCTCTCCCCATGTCCACAGCATCTCAGGATTGTCTGGTTTTCCTTTGTTTCTTTGACTATCCAACAACTCTGAATCACTCTTAGGTGTAGATGGCAAGGAGCCATTTGGACTGTGATGGAGACACATTTGGATTAAGTGGGTTTGTGTTTAATAATTGTCAAATAATCTTATAACAATGGCCTTTTATTCCTTATACTGCAAAATTGGATGCCCTGCTGGACAAATGTAATAATTGCGCAATACAATACAGAAATAAAATGCTTAGGTTGCTTCTTATGTCTTTGTTAGAAGTTGTATTAGATTTAATGGTGAGTGCAGTGGTTACCTGTCTGTTCTGTGGAACATCGCTGATTGTTGAGGGCAGGAGATGGATAATCCTGTATTGGTGGGAATGGGTAAAGAGCAGGTCTTCTCCAAGCCGGTGCTATGTGTAAATAGACAAAGCTTTAGATTTAATTTTAGATTAAATAATGTTAAAGGATATTGCTATGCAAAATCTGCTCGATATATAATGGTGATCGATATATATATATATATTGATATAAGCTTTAGTTCAGTGTCAGTTACAATCAGCATTACAGAATATGCTGGGGTTTTGGGTTACTGTGGTGTGGGAAACAACCTCACTGAACTGATTATTTCTTTTTATGTGTAATAGAATAAATAGGCTGCAAACATACACATTTTTATATTTTTTTTATCTAATGAATTGCTGGGACTACAATGTTTGCATAATGCAAACTGTATTTTATTTTATTCAGCTGATAGAAAAACATAGATTTATGAATTTGTACCTGTTTGCATACACTTTTACGGCCTGGTATTTTTTTCTAAAAATCTGCAAATATTTTTTTGTCCTAAAGAGTTCTGACTGGTGGGAGTTTGTGTTTTATGTTGTTTTCTAGTAGTGGTGCATTTCCTTCTATTTTGGAATGGATTATAGTAATAAATATATGCCTACTTCCTGAAAGGGCATCCACTGCATAAAAAAACAAAAGCCGGAATAGTTGGCAGTTCATTCTGCTGTGGCAAACCATGATAAATAAAGGGAGTAAGCCGATGGAAAATTAATGTATGTCTATTTCCATATTACGATATATAGTAAGGCCAAGAAGAAGTGATGCAATAAGTGAATAGTACCCAGAGGACTTTTTCTGGTGGTATTTGTAAAGTACATCCAATAAACATTTTACTTTGAATTACTTAAAATTTTCAACAGATTTTTCTGTTTTGCAACTTAGTTTTCTCATAATTGTTATGTGATCAGAACTGTGATGCTTGTATCTTCACCCCTTATTGAAAAACACTGTTGGCATACCTTTGAACACCAGCCCAGTTCCTTTCAGACTGCATGTATGTGTTGCTTGCTCCTTTCAGCTGCTCAGCGAACAAATCATGCGACATTGCTCTGAAATCATACACAATAAAGGCAGAGGATGATTACTATAAAGACATTGTTCTAAAACTGTATCAACTTTAAAACAATACTCCAGTTCACACCATAACTGTAATGACGATGGCACAGAAAAACAGTATTACATATAAAACAGCCAATCAGAATTTACTTTGCTGTTAAAGGATTAGTTCAGTCAAAAAACAATATTCTATCATTAATTACTCACCGCAAATTCATTTCAGTCCCCTGAGGCCTTTGCTCATCTTCTAAACAAAAATTGCTCTCTGACCTTGGACAACAAGGCTTTTAAGACATTTTTTAAAGACATAGGTCAAGAAAGGGAACCAAAAATATTATCATCATTTTAAACATAATTTTAGTGGTTCAACTGTAGCAATCATAGTCACTTATGTTTTCTCTAGGTCCTGGTGCATGTTTACTATGTGCAATAAAGCACCTGCTTGTTGTGCTGCTGACTCTAAAGGTAATATGTCCTATCGCCCCGATAACTTGAGAAGGAAGACAAGATATTGATGTTTTACCATTTTTTGCAACACAAGTGTTCTTTGAGCTTTGTATGATTGCAGTTGAACCATCAAGTCACATGGAAAGCTTTTGTTTTCTTTTTTCTGGACTTTGAATGTCTCAAAATCGTTGCTGTCAATGGAGGGTTAGAGAGCTCCCGCATTACATCTAAAATATTTAAAATATATAACTTGTGATCAGAAGACCAACAAAAGGTCTCAGGGTACTGAAACAACATGAGGGGGAATAATTTATTATTATAACATATAAATATATAAAAATATGTAAACATTTTAATTTTTTTAATTAGTGTGAACTAATCCTTTAAAAGCTAGCACAAATAATGTGCAAGGAGACAAACTGCAGTGCAATATCATCAATTGTTGTGGAGAGAAATATAGTCATGTATTCTTATTGTTGATATGAACAGGCCTTAATGCATTGGAAACATTCAAGTGAAGTTTATTTACAAACCAATTTCGAGAGGATCACGTGCTTATGATTGTTCTCAGCTGTTCCAAAATCAGCTCATGATGAATTATTCCATTAGATGATTCCTAACTCACTATAAATAACCAGAGTTTTCTTATTTCAATATCTTAACTTGAAGACAACCCCCACCCACCCCTTCCTTCCCCTTCTTTTTTAGATGGGCGACACGGCAGCCTAGTGATTAGCACTGTTGCCTCACAGCAAGAATGCCTTTGGTTTAAATCCCTACTAAACCAGACGAGATTTCTGTGTGGAGTTTCGCTTGTTCTCCCTGTGCTCGAGTGGGTTTTCCCCGGTTTCCTCCCACAGTCCAAATAACACGCACTCTAAATTGAACATACAGAATTGATACCATAGTCAAGCTCTTAGCGAGTACACCTCTCCTCAGTCATCCATATCCGCCATTTAGCTAGAAATAAGGAGGGAAAGTTCATCAAGATCTACCTGAGCTCAAACTCTTCTCTCGCCCTGCAAACGGGAGGGAGCCCAGGGCTCCAGGATCTCAGAAGCTCAGGACTCTCTCCTGGGACAGTATGCCAAACAAGCTTTATTATCAATCATCAGTGTGAACTCTTGAAAGTAACTTTTCATACTTATAAACTTAGTCAAGTATAACCTTTAGTGGTTCCATTCATAAGGCTGATTCTTCCAAGCAGACAGAGAGCATTGTGAGATTTCTAAAGAGCTATCCTCTGGATTTAAACTACTGCTTTGCCGAGCAACACATTCTTGAGTGTACATTCATTTGCAGCTGAATCTTTTTAGCCTTGTGAACCGTGTTTTCCCAGTGGCCTTTACTGGCAGTTTTTAAATTTATTACTGGTACCTGGGAAACAGATTCTTGGTAAAGCATAGCATGTAGGGTACTAAAATATTGACCTTTTAACATGCTTATCCAGATTGAAGTGATAAAATACATAATTTGCTGCATCCACTGGGAACGAAAGAAGGGAAAAGGATGTTTACGTTAAGCTGGTTTATATTTATAAATCATTTCTTTTCTTGGAGATGTGGGGGTAATTCTATATTGCCCAGTATCACAAAGGACTCCCCTCTCAAGCTGGAGCCAGAACTGGCATGGTTTCATGGATTTCGTGGAAAAACATTGGAGGGGCTGTTTGAGCCTCTTGTTTACTTCAGCAATAGGACTGGCGACCTCTTTTTCTCCACTCTGCTCCTCTCTCTCCATTGCAGAGCTCATTCAAAGAGTGAACAAACAGGCACAGCCATATCACAAGACTGCTTCAGTTGGAATCATTACAGCAAAATTGAACAAATGATGTTAAAATTATGAAATTATCAGAGCCATCTGTTTTGGCCAAACTGTGTCATGCATGCATCATCTATGTCCTATGCAGGAAATAAGTTTTGCTCTACAACCCCTGCCAAGCTGAACTCACAAAAAAAGTGGGACTCAATGTGAGATCTTGGCAACACTAATATCTCCATTTACTCATATATAATGAAAGCAAATGATGACCAGGAATTGTCAAATTCATATAAAAAAGGCACAACAAAATATGCCACAACAATCATTATTGGCTTTTACATGTCTCAAAAAGTGCAGTGTCTTAAACCTGACAATTAAATTATAGACTTAAAAGTGCTGTATGTTTTTTGACTTCTCTAAAGAATAAAAATACCATAATATGTTTGCAGATATTTAAGAAGCATGCTAAGTGAACATTCTTGTTTATCTGAAAAAAAACAATGCTGAAGAAAGTTATTCTGTTTTGAAAATGTGCTTTACGTGCCGGAATTTCTGTCTTTGTTATGTTTTTTTAACCTACCCACTGCCACTTTAGCCAAATATATTTCAGCACCCCAGGATGCCTTGTTGGAAAACCGCATATTTCCTTCATTCTGTCAGAAAGCTCTTGAAGCATGCGTCCGTGACCGAAATGCAACCTCCTGTGGACAATAGCAGACTCCGAAACGAGTTGCAAATTCAGAATTGCAAATGAGGTGGTTATCAATTAGCAAATAAAATAAATATTATAAATGTAAACATTAGGTGAGCAGGTTACATTATAACCCTATTTCCTAACAATACGCTACATGACAAGATTTGCAGTGATAAGCAATTTGGCTGTTTAAATACCATTTAAAAGCACATAATATGCACTTACTCTCGAAATGTTAAGGTTTAAAATGTAATTAATACATACTAAAACCTCTTTAACATTATCAAATGTACATGTTGAGTCACTCAATTTCAAACGGTTTATTTTATTTTCAAGGTTTGAGGTGTAGGTTTGAGGTGTACTATCTGCTGCTGCTTTCAGTAGTATGGCAATAAATGTCATGTAAAATGGCATTCAAACTCACATTATTAGCATTTAACACTGAATAAAGCACATGGGGTGTACCTGAGGTGATCATTGTCACTTTTCTGCCAGAAATAGAAGCCGTTTCTAATATATCAATTTGAGGTGTTGGTTAGAACAAAAACTCATTTAATATTAAAAATATTTCTTCTATCACATGCTGTTGCTTTTATTTAAAGCATGGTTTAAATCAGCCTATGTTGGTCCTCAATCTAGCAACCTGCGCTTGTGTGTGTTTTAATCCTGGAATGCATTACCTATTTTAACCACTGGGTGTCAAACTTACATACTGCACCTTTAAAGGGTCACGAAACAAAAAAACACATTTTTTAGAGCTGTTGACAGTCATATATGTGCCCCATGCTGCTATAAACACTATAAGGACACATATATTACACTAAAAAGTTCAAATAGGTTTTTTTTGTTACTTCGAGCAAATTCGTTCTTCCCGTTTGAAACGAACTTTTGAAGCTGCGTCACACAGATTAGATCCTTGTGTGTATTCCAGAGTGTAGACTGCTTGTCTGTACCTGGGAGGACTTTGTGATGTCTCTGAGTGTGCTGCATTCATTCATGAAAAACACTTAGTTCAAACCAATTAGCGCTCTCTTTTGTGTATGGGGTGCAACTTCATTAATATCCATGATAGATTCGAAAACTGTTTTATCTGAAACAATCTTCAGACGGAGAAAGACGGCACGTTGTGTTGCCAAAACACAAGTTAAAGTTAGTTAGTTAGTTAGTTAGTTTGTTAAAATGATTTCTAAGTTACTTAGTTTACAGTATGTTAATATCACTATAAAATTATGGACAGAAAGATCTGCTGTAAATGCTGCTCTCCCAGTGTAAACATATATACACCCGATCAAACTATTACCGACCATTGTGTTGAATTGTCAATGCATTTTGTGACAGGATAGTCTACACACACGTCTTTCTGGCCTATCGAGTGCATCTGAGTTACTGAGAAATGCAGAATTTTTTTTTTTCTTATACGATGTGCGGTATCAAACATTCCACTGTCATTAAACGCAGTAACTGTCTTTTTCCCCTGCATCTGTGCGTTTGTTTTGCCTCTGTGAAAATCAGCGCGTGCCTAGATAGAAACTCCCATTTTTATTCAAATCCTTCCCTCCCCGACTGTCCCACCTGAACCGAGCTAGACACACCCACTTTCCTGACTTTTTCCAAACTAGAGGTGTGAAAACATCCCGCTGAAACAGGGGTTTCATGGCCCTTTAAGAAAAGTAGAGATACTTTTCATTTTTTGGTGCTTGACTGTCCTTGGTATGGAAAAGATCAGCACAAACATCATTCAGAATTTCTGCTTTTGTGTTTCACGGAAGAAAGAAATGAATACATATTTTGAAACTTAATGTGCATGCTAATACTTATCAGATTAAAAAACGCTCTCCATATATTCTGTTTGTTCTGACCTGCTGCCTGAAGCCTCTGTGTCATCATCATCAGAACTCATGTCGATGGGAAACATGTCCTCGTCTTCTGAGTCTCCATTGTCCTCACGCTTCATGCTGTCTACTTTAGATTTTCTTCTCCTTTTCCTCCTTTTCTTCATTATTGAACTGTCACCAGGGGGCTGCATGGGGCCCAGGGTTTGAATGGTGGTTCCGTTTCCAGATTCAGACAGGCGGGACGTGCCTTTACCCATTTGGGCCTGCATTAGAGCAGAGCCTTCAGAAATGATGGGCGATGTAGCCAAGTAGGACGGAACCATCTCCTGTAGAGATTAATAATAGTTAAAAATGTAGGCTTTAGGGACTTTTTAAAAAATATATACTGTTTTTCTTTTACATTTGGAAAAAATGATTATTATTAGCATCATTATTTTATTTTAAAAAAATGTTGTGTTACATGTTGCCAGTGACATGTAACATGTCTTAATACAGCAGCTACTGGCAAGTCTTAAATTCTTTATTAAATGCTGAACGGAGCTGAGTGTGTTGTAAGCAAATAAAGCTGTACCAAAAACATTGTATCTGCAAACAAAACCATTCATTCATACGTGCATGAATGTAAACTGTAACCATAAATAGCACAACACTGCGGCCAACCTAATGCCATGTGACAGATTGTTCCTTATTTTATTACAAACACATGCACATGCCACAAATCTGCCTGTACATTGCATGGCTGTTGAAAAGCAACAGAGGCACATAAAAATACATGATAGCCTAATGTTCAGTTGTTATTGCCACTCAGTTGCCCTTGAGAACCAGACGGTCAGTTCATACGTCAGTTATCACTCCCTCATGGAGACCATTATCAACTATAGCCCTGCTAAACATAGTCACCACAATACAAAATGATAGGCTGACTATAGTAAACAGCAGAGATCTTGACAATTAAAACAGTCCTTTAGCACTTTACTGTCACTTTTCATTTGTAGAATAATGAAAAGTTTAGTTTTATTGCACTAAACTAATGACATGGCCAGCAGAGACTTAAATAGAAGTCTTCTGAATGGCTAACATGCTTGGATACTTTTCTGCCCTTTACAAAGAACTTAACTGACACAGAGAAAATAGTCATTTTTAGGATGCCTATTTAAGTAATACATGTCATCTGACATTTTGTGTATTTCCCAAAAAATCCCCTCCAGCAGCTTTAAGCTCTTATACCAGCAGCAAGATAATCCAAAGTTCACTGGACTGCAGTGAAAAAGCCTTTACTGATGGTTTATGACAAACGTTGGGTAGAGCAGACAGATCATTTAAAACAAAACACATTCTCCACCTTTAACGTCAAATAAATGTAATAAATGTTCCAACAATGATAATAAAAACCCACACACACTGTAACCTTGAAAAATAATCAGCATTAGGTAACCGGCACATGCCCTTTGTGTCCTTTTTTTAAAAAATTAGACGTAAACTGTGTCCTTTAGTTACTAAAAGCATATAAAATGTAAAGCACTATTACATCTCTAGATTATCAACCCTTAAAATATCAAACCTGTTGTAAACCCTTTAATTTATAACATAATATTATATTTAATAAATGGTTTAATTCAGGAGTCTATTAATTTCATATTCCTGCGCATGCAATCTCTGTACTTGCTACTGGCTATGTTTAGTTAAATGGAGCACAAACGTCTAAGCAGTTTCAGCCAAACAGACAGTAATTCTTTTCACATTCAAAATGGCATAATTTAGTGGTCAAATAATAATGTTAACATAGTTGAGCGTAGAGTAGGACAATGCAGGATTTGTGGGATCTCAAGACAAGTGTATCTCTCTTTTCAGATCCTGTCACAATCCTTCAAAAGCCAGAATGTTCCACATGAGTGCTAACCAGGGCAACAATTCCAGCAATTACGAACACGGTGTACCTCAGCAGATATTCATCTCAGGCATTTGTGCCTGTGATGAGCAAGAAACCATCTGTGGTCAGAAAGTAATGAGGAAGTTTGGAAGACTAAGCCAGGAGGATAACCTATGTTACGCTGACAGAGCTTTTATTTGTTCAGCAGTCGGACAATATTTCAGGGCTTTTCGCCTGTGCTGTACTTTGCCCTTTAAATTGGCTGGCTCAGATGGGTGCTGTTTCAGACAGAACAACGGTTGCCTTGGCAGAGAAGAGAGTGTTCTAGAGCAAAGCTCGGGTAGCAGGACACATGCAGCAGGATTGTTTCCAGTAAACAAGTTCAGATTTCAAACTATGGTAGAGACTTGCATTTCTCAGTGCACGATCCGTTTTGGCTGCTATAAAAACACTATAGGGCTTATTGTTTGGTACATGAGGCCAGTACTCACCCCATCATCTTCTGTTTCTTTCACAAAGAACGCCTCTCCATTTTCACCCAGTTTCATGTGTAAACTAACCGGCTCCCCATTTATCTCAATGTCAACCTAAGGAGAAAGGGAACATGGAATGCTGTCACTATAATAGACAATTTACAACTGTAAGCCTTGTGCAACACAAGGCCCATAGCAACGCTAATTATATATGATCCTCAAGCAACTGCTTTCCCCTTCAGTCTTCTACTTGATTTATGTCCATATGCCCATGGCTTTAATATATTTAAGATCTCTTATCCCCCACATATCTATATGTAGCATTCATGTTTTACTGACACCGGTGGCCATTAAGTGAAATGCAGCCAAAAACTTTTGGGCTAGCACTTTAGGATCTTCAACATACACGTGGGGATTGAACTTGTTTCCATGCCCCAATACACATATTGTTTAATTAGGGTAAAAGCTAAAACATAGACATCAAACATCCAGACACCACTGTCACAATCCAGAGAGGCTTTTAGATGATTTTGCAGGTTTAATGGTGAGAAAATATCTGTAAAAAAGCACCATCTAATCATAGTGATATGGATGCTGATATGGGAATTTTTGTATGTTTATATTTATGTTAAATTAGAATGTAGCACTGTGGTCCTGCAAGACTGAATATCCTCACGTGTAGTAGAATGAGTTTGAGACGATAGACAGACAGATTAATATATGACTGTTCTTACATAAAGTATAGCCCTTAAAATATATAGCTTTTTGAGCTGTTTAATTTGAGTCTCCTGAATAGATTTTGTGAGAAAGGGATTTAATTTAGGCTTATGTTCAAATATTCAAATACTTTTAACCCACATTTGGTGTTTGTTAGTTATTTTGAATTTGAATGCTTAAAATAAATACTCCATAAAGGTTTGAGGTACAATACTGAGTAGAAATATATATATATATATATATATATATATATATATATATATATATATATATATATATATATATATAAAAGACAATCAAATTATAAAGGTTTTTGCATTAAGCACCCCTAAAGTACACACAAGATGAATTATGAACTGCTAACTTGCAATAATATAAACAATTTCATACTCTGCACCCTAAAACATGTCTGTGCTAGTGCTTACCACTTTCTCCCGGGAGCGCAGCACACCCATCTTGCCGAATCGGACGTGAAACGGTGAGCACTGCAGTGTGCCATCAGGCTGACGCACCACAATGACATCGATACAGCCAGACAGAGTGGCAGGATTAAGACCTCTGTACAGCTCCTTCACCTGCACGAAAACCTGACCGGCCAGCTGACCCACGTAATTCATGGTCTGACTCTGAAATGGAGAGCAAGGGGAGACTAAAGTGAACACCGTGACAAAGGCCACCATCACCATCTTATAGCAGCTTGTGGAACTCTGATCTCTTTTGCTTTCACACATAACTTTTTTTTAATGATCTGCACTTCAGCACTAAAATTAATAGCTTTCTGTGTGAAAGTGCAAAGTCAACTATGTAAAGTCAACTGCGAGGTTGATGAGCCATCTGTGTGTATGATGATAATAACACTCAACATCTCTATTTAAACAGTCGTTTACTAGTCGACTATGCAAAATTGTGCAGCTGCAGGCTTGAAGAAAGAAAAAAAAACACAGTTGTGCAAAGTAGGTCTAACAAAAACATGCTGTCTTGCTTAACTCAAGTCAAGATCTCTTTGTCAATTTAGGTGAAAGGTAAAATATTATCATCGAACCCCCTAAAGACCGCAATTGGTACTGGTAGACTCAATGACATTGCTCAAACACGGATTACAAGTAGTTTTCCTTAAGCATTGCCAAGGATCTGACATGCAACCCAGAAAACTACTGCCTCTGTGTAATGCACAACAAACATAATGTTTAAAGTAATTAGCTAATTGCAGGTCTGCAATTAAACAAAAAGAGCTTGTGTGCACTATTACAATCTGCAAGCTAGGGCTTGTGCATGCCAGAGGAGGCAAGACAAGTTTCATGGCATTAATGGGAAAAAAGAAAGGAAAAAATATGTCTGAGCGTGTATGCTCATTACAATTCCCACACATTTCACCTAATTTATTTTCTTGACATGCCCATGAACTCTCTGGCTGTTTATGAGTGCTGAAAATGGATTTATTTAGAAATCATTTTTCAAAGATTGCTGGGCGGATTTCCATATCAGGTGCCAATTTTTCTGAATGGACAGAATTAAACATTTATATTTAGTACTGTACAAATGGCCCTCAGAGGACATATTGAAGCTGCCTGTGGTCAAATGTTCCAAGCCCTGAAATATTTCTTGGAAATGGCAGAATGTATGTATTCACTCTCTGTATACTAATCCAGGTCACGGTTTTAAAATTCCAAAGCTTTCCAGAGCTTATAAACTATTAGAAAACCTAACAGCCTTATTAACCCAAAAGGATCTGTCCCCCAGGTGACCCTGCAGCTATGTAAAAAACCTTCAAGCAAGTCTTCATTGTTTATACAAAACAGACTGATCCTTCACATTCACACACACAGTCACATGGCACTGACATAACTCCAGTGGTTCTGCTGTGAGATATTGATGCCAATAATAGCATGGGCATCCAAACGTAGTGCAGTATCAAAACAGAAATGGCATACGACTCGTTTCAACAGAAAAAAAACGAATATTCTTCAGATAATAAGGTCATTTTTTATATTGACGTCTAGAACATACAACGTCTATGATCGGATTAATTGCAATATTTTTTAATAGAAACTGTACACAGTCTGAGGCAGTATGATCGTAATAATCATCGTCACTGCATATAAATATATATTAACTCAATCAAATGCATGCATGCATTTACGTACAAGGATGAGTATAAACAAGATGGCAATGGGAGGGATGAAACTCCCTGTAATACATACGTGGGATGCGGCAGACGCGTTAGGATGTCATTGCCATTCAAAAGCACTTAGTGGATCCTCGTTTCCCTCTGACGTTCGCTGCTCCTCGTTCATGTATTTAGTCTCTACCACTGTTTGTTGACTGACTGTTGTATTTAAAGCAGGGTGGAAACTGCTTGCAGTGAGTAGCAGTCCCTGCCTCTGCAGCTGACATCACAGTTAACCCTTTCGCTCATCTACCCTGCGACGCGACAAACAGAAATAAGCCTCCGTTTACAGTCTATGAAGCGGACTACTGTATCCAATAATATACGCGCGACGCGTCTCTCACGTTCAGGGTCATGACGTCGCCACCCATTGGCCCAATCAAACACTTTGTTTATGAGACGCAACGCGACTAGAACGCTCCTAATCAACACTCAACACAGCGTCGAAACCATTACTTGTTCACTAAAAGGCATATGGATTTGTTTTGAGCACCATTAACATTTGTGTTATTGTTTGCTTTTTACTAACAGAGTGTTATTTTGTTTCGATAATAAAAACCTAAGGATGTGTTTTATGTTTTCACATTTATCTGCCTCATTTATATTTCATTATAAACGTTTGCTGAATCTCACATTATAGTGGTGAAATTATGCTGAACAAGCGCTGTATTGAATGCACACGTTTAATGGATTTAACATACACTGCTCACGTGGCAGGAAAGCTGCTGCAGCTGAACTGGCAATCGAATGTTTACAATAGTGTGTGTGTGTGTGTGTGTGTGTGTGTGTGTGTGTGTGTGTGTGTGTGTGTGTGTGTGTGTGTGTGTATTTGGCTATGGCTGTGGCTGTCATAGAAAGTAATAAATGTTGGTGTACTTTTTCATCATCATCACCACATGCTGTTAAAAAACAGAGTTAGGTTCATGTCTCAAATGCTACTATGTGCATAATTTTCTACAAGTACTATAATATAATGTAATAACATAAGTAATGCAGTAACAAAATTAAAAAGTAGCCAATGTCTCTTTGATGGTTGAATGCTTCCCAAGGTACTTCAAAGCATGGCATTACTGTAACCTGAAGAATAAATATATAATACAATAACAATACAAATGCATTACATACAGAATGTCAGTATCTGCTAAGAAAAGGCTGTCGATTGGCATCAAAAACTTTGAATATCCCTGTCACTTTGATGAATGTTTACCCTGCTATGGTTCTAATTTAAAAGTACAGCAAAGATTAGGGTGGTATTATTATAGTGCAATGTATGACATTTTAAAAGAAAAGAGGTTCACTCTTTTGTTTCCTATAAAGCAGTGATGTTTCAGCAGATGGCCTTTATCCAACATTTCTTTATGAAATCTGTGTAGTATTAGTGTGTGCGTAAATCATGTTCTATATAATTATTATATATATTATTAATAAAATGTATTTATTTCTGCGTTGTACAGAACTACAAATATGTGTACTTGTGTTCTAAAGTTAGGCAATGCATCTTTGCAGATTATATCTAGATATTAAGATCAGGGTAATGCTTTGGTTGTTTTTGACACCACTAAAAGCCTTCTTCTCATTCTGCATAGCAGTTATTGTAGTGTAGTGTACTGTGGTAACCCCTTGGTGTGCTTTAAGAGGAATTTCAGACCTTGTGTTTGTGCGAATGGTTCAATAGACTATGTGTGTGCGCATGTGTGTGTTGTGAGAGAGAGTTCAGGAAATGCTGCCTTTCTCTGAAAAGGGTCACTACAAGACGTGTGTGTGTGTGTGTGTGTGTGTGTGTGTGTGTGTGTGTGTGTGTGTGTGTGTGTGTGTGTGTGTGAGTGAGTGTGTGTGTATGCGTGTGCGCATGCATTTCTGTGAAGTGCGATTAAGGCAAAAGAACAACCTAAAAAAAAAAATTAAAGCACTGGCCAGGTCTTCAGTTGCACAGCATGCTCTCAGCACGCTTTCTATTTCATCATGATCTGTTGATTTCTTCCCTGGATAAAGCAGCACACTAGAGTACATTCCAGATACACTGGCCGGGTTTCTAGGAATTGGAGAATGTGATTTAGGGGCTCTGGGGCCTGAGGAGACTACTAATGCTCTGTATAATAACATTGTACTTATGCATAAAATTCTTATAATGGATTGACATGATGAACAGATATAAACAAATAACAATTTATATGTATGAATTAAAACATTTATACCATGCATTTTCTTCCACTCATTCTGTAAACAGTTATATATATCAAATATTCACACTGTTTATTTGTAAATGCTGTTTCTCTGTTACTATGGAATGCTTCTAAACATTTCTCTCTGTAAAATGAGCACATGGCTGATTGTGAAATACTGTACATTTCCTAGAATCCCGTGTATACATTCACGTGGGGGAAAGGGGAGTCGTCTGGGATGGGCCATCTCCACCAATCAGAGGCAGAGGGGCCTGTGACATCAGGCATGTGGGGTCATGTGTTTATTGAACTGCTGACCTTACTATTGTAGGAGGGAAGAGTGACACTGAGACTCTTCGCTGAAGTTGTTTTTCTGCATCACTTCATTGTATTTCTGACGTCCCAGAGCAGTACAGCATGTACCATATGCAAGTAAAAAGAGATCCTGTTTAGTTACTATGAGGGGCTGGGTTGTAAACAAGTGAAGGAAGTATGTTTGATTAAATCACATTGTCTAACAATGTGGAATTGTGTCTGTCTAAATGGGTGCAAAATCCTTATGATATTAGAGCAAATGCCATTCATTTACTTTGTATACTGATTAATTAAATTAATAGTTAATAATACATTTCAAAATTTGTTGAGGAGATTTTCCAAATTTAAGCCAGTTCACAGACACAATACAAAGGCAAAATTTACTTTATCAGGTCTTGTCAGATCATTGTGTATTACACCTGCATTTGTTGACCATAACTGGTTTTCACTGATTTCACAGACTTCAAAATTTAAAAGGAATAAGGTGCACAATGTCAAAAGAAGCTAATTTTCTGTTTTAACATTTTAAAGCAGAATTGTTTAATTGGCAGTAAAAATACTTATAATAATATTAAAATTTTGTATGAACATGATTTGAATACTGAAAAAATTTGTCACTGTGATCAAAAATGACTAATTTATAAATGAACGGGGAACTAATTGTAAACCTTTCAAACTACTTCAATTCAAAAATTTGGGGGGTTATACTTAAACATGGTTAACAATTCTTAAATGAATCAATAGCATAAGGTGTGCATAATAATAATAATAATAATAATAATAATAATAATAAACATTTGGAGCAAATGAAAGCAGGTAATATTTCTTTTGTGAAACCAGCAACTGACGAAAGACTATTGAAACAGAGTCATTTACACATAGGAAAACAAAGGGGGCAATGAGTTACTAATTAACCTCCCAGGAAAAGGCATGGTCAGTAAATGACTATTGAAACCAGCTGTGGAGACAAACA